GATTAGCGAACACGTCATCCATTGTAGCAGCTCTCCGTCAAAATTAAAATCTTTTTACTAAATACAATCTTTTTGTATATTTCGATATCATTAATGGACGAAATATCCAGTAAGTTCATAAAAAACTAAGCTTTTCTTAGACTCGAAAAAGTATGACTTCGGCATAGTATATATATAGCTACTAGCATACCCGTCTTTAATGCGTTGACTACGTATAAGAAAAATCAAGACAGTGTTTGTTGAAATTAGTTTCGGAATATTTATTCGATCGTATAAATGCATAATAATATGCATCATAATTGTATTCTAGTGTGTTGTAGTTGCGGTGCAAATGAAGTTTACGTTTTTTCTCGTTTAAAGTAGCTTTGAAATGAAATTAAATCACGGTCACGGACAAAGGTTATCAAATTCACATGAACTACAGCGAATATGTAAAAAGTATATTATTTTTTTTCGCGTTTGCAATAGTTTTCAACCAATATTTACTCGGTACTGTAACATACACATATGCATATATGGCCTTAGGAAACATCTACCCTCTATCCCATGACCTTCACGTATTGTCATTTATGCATATGCATGCAAGAGCTGCTGCATATTTGCAGTACTGACAATAGAGCTTAGTTACAACAACAATATTTGCACAGCAGTATGTAGTTTTTGCGCATAGCTGAAGCTTTAATAAACATGTGTGTGTGTAGATATGTACACGCCTTCCCGAGGCTATTGTCCTTTTTTCTAAACAAGACTTTTTATATATTTACTATATACACACGCACTTACACATCAACTTACGCTGTTACAGCAAGAGAACTTTCAGCGGTTGCACGTGCTGCTGAGAGCATGAATCTGTGTATTTTACTCATCTCCATTTAACATGACCTCTCCGTTTCACATTACGTGTTTGTGTGTGCGTTTGGGAATGAGATGAAAAGCTCTTTTTCAGCATCGCTCGAATTCTGTCGAGTCTGTAGTTTATATAAGAAAAACCAAAAAACTACTGCATAGAGTGGAGAGCTTTCAAAAAGCAGTGGTCATTGAAAGTGGATTGTGTGAGGTTAGGCTGAACGTGTTGAAAGCTGCCAAATAACGAATGTAATGTATGTAATGCAACCAAATATATAAACATGAGTAAAGTCTGAGTCAACGCAAACATTTTTATTTTTATTTTACTTTAATCATGCTATTTTCTTATATCATATGTTTGCTTGGCGATTTTTTATGCCCATTCAGCAACAGCCACCTTCGTCTAGCGACAGGAGTTCAGCAACAGAAAATGTGCTCAAAAATTTACTTCTACCCAGATTTATAACGGCATGTCTGTAATGCCAGTAGGGTTGTTATTATTATCTATTTGTGATTGTATCGGTCTCTAAAACTACAAAGTAGAACTCTAAAATCAGATGTCATATGGATCAATCGGAGCTGATATTCAGAAACTTGGATCACCGGACTATGATCTCATTACAACTATGTGGAACGCGAAATCTGAAGTCTTAATGAATTTTACTTAAAAAATACAAAAATGTACATTTGTATATCGGTAGATTGGCATCAAATTTGCACCTACAAAATTTATTTCTGTTAGAATCCACTGTATGGTCTACTGAATCCAGTTTGTAATCCACTTTGAAATTTATTAAATTTAAATTATTCAAAACACTAACTATACTAAAACACATCGACATGAACTACTTCTAGCGACGAAATTGACGTCGCTTAAAATTTACAGTTTTAAGATTTGCATGCCGACAACTAACCTCAATTACTAAAATAATTTTGTTGGAATTTCTTAAGATCTGGAAATATTTGACACTCATCCCATTAAGTTTTTAATTTTCCAAGCAAATTACAATATAAGTGATATAATTCCCACTGACCTTGAATATATTCTAGCTTCTATTTTTCAAAATAGCCGCCGGCTCTCATTGTTTATGCCATCAAGTTTTACGACAGGCTAGCGTGCTAAATACTAGCCCATTTACCTTTAAGCTGTTGATATTTTCATAAATATACATATGTAGACACCCACCTTCGTATTTTTAATTTCACATGTTTGCTCTTTTGCCATTGTTGTTACTCAGCGTTGCCTGAAGGCGGCATTATGTAATACTCTTACCGACGCTTGCGCCAGTTAAAGTGAGATCATTCATAATTAGTGATTGTTGTCATTGCTGTTATTCTTAAAAAAAATAGTCATTGTGTCTTTCAAATCCACTACTAGTCTATGCCAACTTTTTGCTATTAATAAAATTCATTGTAATATTTGTTTTCTTATTTTCATGGCTTGTAGATTTACATACATGTATTTATATATACATATTATTTAAATGGCAAATAAAGCGTTTTTACGTGAACGCATACAATTTCTTTAATGATAAATAAATATTAATTAAGAAAGTTGTTTAAATAAGTTCAATAGAGGCTGCCGAATTAAAATGCGCACATACGAGTATGTAGTGCAAAAGAATGTATTTAAATAGTAATTGCTTGTTAGTCATTTACATAAAAGTAGCTAAAATCTCTGATTATGCCACTGTTTTACCAAAGAACTTGCTAGGTGGCGTTGTGATTAAGAACTTCCGAAATCACAAAACTCAGATTATTTTTATTTGTACCAAAAATATATACTTATTTCGTAATCGAAGAAGTTTGCAAGAGAAATCGAGAAAAAATACGACAATTTTTTAAGGAATTTTGCTATTAATTGACGGAACTACAACTCATAACATCTTACTAAATATTTGGAACAAAATTCTCAAAAATTAAAAAAAAAAAATGGTTATGCACTTAAACGTGTGGAGCTTAATTTGAAAAAAAAACATTTAAATTTGGTAAAAATGGGTTTCGTTATTTGTTACTATGCAGACAAATTTATGCCAGATTTGAACAAAATGTCTCCCAAATGACCACCACGACTCCGTTTGCATATCTCAATCCGTTTACGCCAGTATTCGATGGCCCACTGCAGCATTTCGGCTGGAATTTCAGCTTAAGTGCGCTGAATGTTGTCTTCGAGCTCCTTGTTCGTTGCTAGTTGCTTGACGTAAACCTTTGATTTAACATAAATACAGAGAAAATAATCTAGAGGCATTAAACCGCACGATCTTGGCTGCCATTTTACTGCGCCGATTCTCGAGATTGACGGGTGGCCAAACTTTGCACGCAGTGTGTTCAGGTTTAGACGTGAAGCATGATCCGACGTACCGTCTTGTTGTAAATAGAGATTGTCTGCGTCAATTTCATCAAATTCCGGGTAAAATCGTATTTGCTGACTCATTGCGAACGAAATAAGGCGCAATGATGCCGCCATACCACAATCCGCACTCAACGGTTAATTTTTGTGATTACAAATGCAAATTTTTTCGGATTTTTGGATTTTCCAGAGAACGTGCATTTGCGTAATAATCTCAGATAATTTCCAAGCATTGAAACAAAGTGAATCATGACACGATGAAATGGCAAGCTTTACTCAACACAATGACAAAATTTGGCACAAATCCGTAAACAAGCATGTCTGCTAGGAGCTATCAAATTTAGGTCATCCCTGTTCGTAGGCGCTGTAAATTATATTTATAGACCAATAATCCCTAATAAATACTGCCTCCGATTTCTTATTTTTATACTATAGACTAAGCAATATCTCTGTTCACACTTTAGCTTTCATAAATATATAAATCTAAATTGCCATATTCCGACAAAATCTGTCACAGTATGCCAGAAATTATTTTTTATAGTTGCTTAGCTTGGAAGAAGAAATACAAAAAGGAATTTATAGACAATGTTTTACTAGTCGCCTTTCTCCAGCCAACCCTTTATTAAGATGAATTTTTGACGACCGCACGACTTACTAGAATTGAGTGTTGTAATTTTCTACCTACTTGTATGTAGGTTATGTTACTTTTTCTATATATTAAACTACTTGTATATTTTTGGGGTACGTCAAATCAAAAGTCTATGGTAAAATGTACGATAGATCGCAATTCCATGAAATGCTGCTCAAAGAAAAAATTTGCTTGGTATAATTAATTTTATTAAAGTTTTTGTGTATTATTTAAAACAAAAATTTTTATAATTTTAAATATCACATTCGTAATACGTAACTTTTAAGAAGAAAAATTTAAATATATATAATCACTGTTCCGACTATATCTACGGTATCTTCCAAGTCTTCACATTAACAACTGCCAGATTGTATGCCACAATAATTCCAGTTATTTTTTGTATATGTAGTATATATGTTTATAAGTAGTTTCTTTTAACAAAACTTGTGCAATTAGTCATTGACTGTTTTATACAAATAGAGGACTTAAAGTATTGTATAAATAGCACCAAAATGCAATTACTTACATATGAACAAATAAATAAAAAACAATAAGTAATTTCGTGGAAATACTGAGCACTTTAAAAAGACCATCGTTACCAAAAAGTAATGAGACTCACGCACATGAAGAAAAAACTTGTAGTTAGAATAAATGTACAAATCCGATTACTACAGCATTGTAATAATATAATATAATGTAGTTTTGTATTAATTGCTTTTTTAATTCAATATATTTTTTTCCTATATTTTACCATTTTCCTATTATATCTGAACAAATTGATAATGTGTTAAGAACACCGCATGAAAAATGTTAAATGTATTACTGTAAAACTTAATATAAATGTAAGGAACGTAATATGAAAAAAAGTTAAATCCTCAATGGAAATATTAACGTGTAAGATTTCGCTTGAAACTTCCTATCAATAAAATTTTTTTTCAAATAAAATAAAAATATAATAAAGAAAACAAAAATAGTTGGAAACTATAACCTACTTGTGCTAAAAATACCAGAAGCTCGTTAACTTGCGTAATACAATTACAACTAAATTCTGAAAAAATTTCAAATGTGGTTTGGTTTTATATTGAATACGAATACAGTAAATACAATACATATTATTAAATACATAACATATTTTCGCAATTACGAACAGTATAATTAAGTGTAAAGATTACTTACTTAAAGCCCAGCTTAATTTGATCGATGGTTTGCACAGCTGCCATGTTATTTGAAATTATTTGGTTTCGTTTTTAAAATTTTAAACTTGCACTTAAAACGTAAATATATGCATTTGCTTTTGCAGGAATTACAGTTTTATTAAATCACAAAAAAATGATATAGTCAAATAACATATATATATATATATATATATATATATATTAGGTATCACTTGCGTTAGAATTAAATTATACGGCATTCACTGGAAATTGAAAAGACACATTTGTTGTAGAAAATGGTACATGTTTAGATTGTAATTTAATATATTAATAGGTAGAATGTAATCACACATATAGAGATATGTAGCGGTAACTATGTATGGCTTTAACTGGCACAGTATAACATACAATAATATTTTCTTCTATCTGAATTGCTTTTAAACATTTTGATGTTAAAATCTTTGATGCACGGTAATAAAACCGATTCCCTGCAACGAAATTGTGTTACGTAACAAAAAGTCATCACGCTCGCTATATGCATATTATATAAAATTTACGTTACGTTAAAATGTTGCCACCTGTTTAAAAAAAATTATCGGAAAAAAATTATATGAGCAATATGGCAGTCGAGCTAAGGATGTTCAAAAAACTGAATTAAAACATTTTTACTGACAGGCGTAGCCATTTTTTCAAAACTGAAAATATAGATTATAATAATTATTAATATAAGCAAATTGTTAAAATATAATAAAACAAGGTAGTTTAAGAGTGCTTTTAATAAAAAATTAATTTAGAAATTTTGCCACACTTTTTAAACTTTTAAACGAAAAATTACGATAAACGAATTAATAAAATATAAGCCTCAAATTTAAAAAATTTAGGAAAGCTCAATTAAGTCTGGTATAATGTGCATCGTAGCCACTTTTAAAAAATTTTCGTATAAAAAACTTGTAAGATTAACGAATAATTAAGGAATATTTTGACAGCTTTTTAAAAAAAGGAAAAAATTGGGCTTGCCGGCATATTTTGTTCTCTGTATATAGGTTTATAACAACCATTAAGTGCAAGGTTAGTTTTGTTTGCTTTTTCGCTTGCCCTAAAGTGTGTGTACAATGTATATATGAACGGTGAGTTTTATATTTAAAACGTTGGGCAGCGTTTGATATTTTGAAATAATTTGCTTTGATAAAAGTTCGATTGCAAATTCCAGCGAGGTGATGAATAGCATATTACAATATTAACAATTGACGAGATTTAAAAGAATTATCATAATTTTAAATTGGAAATATGAAATTTAAAGCCTATAATTCAATTTAATTTATTTTAGGAAATTAATTAATTAAATAAAACATAAAAAAATTGTCAAAAATATTAGTTTATTTTAACAAAAACAAAATTAATTAATTAGTTAACACATAATTTATTTGTCGAAATAAATTAAGTTGAAATATTTGCTTAAAAATTTTAATTTTTAAATTTTCTCAATAATAAATAAATAATTTTATTGACTAAAACTTGACACTTTCGTTATTGTATTAGTTTTACTAATAAAATATCTAATCTAAACATAAAATTTCATTTAATTTATTTCGACAAATTAATTTAATAAATAACTAAACACAATTAGTTGCAAAAAAAAAATAATTAAATTAAAATTATTAGTCAAAACAATTAATTTGCCAACATAAATCAAATTGCATTATATGCTTTTAATTTTCAACTTTAATTTTTTAAACTTTGCTAATTATTTGATTAATTAAAACTTTTTTGAAAAAAACTTAACACTAAAATATTTAAAGAATTTTCTGTTTCATTATAGTTTTAGTTATATTAATAAAATCTCTAGTGTGAGCAGCTGTTTTTAGTTTAGAGCCCTTTATATACTCATAATTATAAGTGTGTTTTTAAAGTTGTGCCTGCTACAATATGTTGCAGGCACACCTATACATATGTTATATATGAATATGTTATATATGTATATGTTATATATGTGTATAACTAAGTTTGTACATCCATACACTTGTGTATACCGCTTTCTGTGTATCTGTGCATGATTTACAATGTATGTACATCCTAGATTATTTGCTTTCGAAAAGCTTTCGCCTGCATATCCTTGCAAGGACAAAAAGCTCGGGCAGTGTTAACAATTTTATATAGACAAATACAGTTACATGCGTATGTTTTGTCGTTGCAAACAATATTGAAATATAATATTTTTGTTTCTGAAAGATGTACACAAAAATTATTTCTTGAGAAACTCACACTTAATCGCACATATGTATGTAATAATTTGTATACATATATGTATGTTACGTATGTATGTATGTCTATCACAAGCTTGCTTTCAGCTACTTAGTAAAATATTTGCAAAAACTTTTCACTAATTCATCACTTCCTTTTGTACGCAATTTAGTTCAATTTACTTTTATTAAACGCTTCAATTCAATTCTATATTTTCAGATAATTTCTTTTGTGTACGCAAACGTTTTAATTTCTGTTTTCGGCGCACACACATCTACAAGCGTTAATTAGCGTAAGAATTTTTCCTTTCAATATTGTTGATTTATTAGTAAACTAAATAAGTTGGTTGTTTAGTTGATTGGTCTGTATGTTGAAGCGTCACCGCCAATACACGTCGGAGTCGAAGTCGGCGTATCGAACGCAACGTAAATTTGTAAAACACTGGCAAGACAACCGTTTAGCGCGATAGCAACTCATCAACTGGCTGTGCTAGCAATTCTACAGATACCACAGCACGAATATGTTGCCGCTGTTGGTTCAGTTGTGTGACTGTGCACGTAAAAAGTTCTGATAACACATATGTATGCTTTCTGCTTGCCGCAACAATCTAATTCAATATATTTGCTGACTGGTGTGTGCGTGTGTGTGAAATTCTTTCTAATTACACATACATACATATATATGCGAGCGCTAGAAGAACGTGTTTATGTATAATACATAGGCGCCTTTTGCTGGTGGGCTTGTGCCGCCGGCAAGCTTATAATATATACCTATATAGATATATAAATGTAATATAAGTGTTTATGTAGAAATATACTTATATGTAGGCAGCTGTGTATTTTAACAGCAGCAATCAGCTGTTTCCGATTTTTTACATATGAGAGCACGAGTGCCAATTGAGTTGCTCTTTTTAAGCACACCCACATGTTACATTTCGGTTTATTTTGAAATTTTGTGGTTCGTTGCGGTTTCTATTTCGTGTCAATTATGCAAATCGGCAGCAATTTTCAATTACAATCTTAAATAGGTGCTAATGAAGTTAAAACTTGATTAAATGTTAATCAAATAAAGCAAAGTTAGATTTACTTGACTGGCGCTGTGTTATTATAACCTTATATAATTGTTGTTGTTTTGTTTAGAGAATGCGGTAAAAAAAAAATATAAATAGCTAGTTAATAAAATGAAATATGTGATTTTAAATAATGCAAACAAGTTAAAAAATCATAGTTAACAACCTTCTTAGCTGCCCGGTTGTACAGTTCAAATTTAACAAATTCTAAGGCATGAAAACAGCTATGTATATAAATTATGAATACGCTGAAAAAAACCTAAGGAAATTATTTGAATATCCAATACAAAATTTTGAAAATAATTTCAAATTAATTTTTGTAGCATTTTTGTCGATGTAAGCTGTTTTTTTTAAATATTTGGTACTTAATCCATGTAAGCTATTTTAATAAAATTTTCAGCTGTGAAATTTTAATGTTTTTTTTTAGCTAAAAAATCCTTAACTCTTATGAAAAAGGATCAAAATAAAACTAACTAGGGGGGAAACTTGTAATCAGTGAACTCTAGTAAAATTGCGCTAAAAATATTTTTAATTCTGTAATATCGTAACGGTTTTTTTGTTGATTTTCTTTCGAGTACTTCTCTAAAAGTCATACAACAAAATTTGTATACAGTCCCAAAAGTCAAAGCTTTTTTTGAAAATGAAAAGCTTGCTACTATTGTACAACAATATATTTGTGGAGAAATACCAGGCGTATGAGTAACCTTAAATAATACAGAACACATTTTTATTTCCTTCTACTCTAACGAAATTTACGCATTTTGCACATTTTAAAAAAAATATACCAAAATTATTAGTAAATACATTTGTGTGCAAACAAAATGCTTGCAGTGAAAAAAGTATAAGTATCGCCTAATTGACAATAGCTGACAGCTGGTGAGCCAAAAGCTTTATGACATCAATTGGAGCGGCACAAACGGGTGAGCGGTAAAAACATTAGTAAAACAGCAGTTGAATATATTTCACAAGCTTCACAGAAACAAACATACGAGAAGTAGGTGAAAGCTTTCGTACGTTGTGCTCATTTAAATGTGTTGTTGTTATACAGTGTATGCAGCTTTGGTGAGAAGCTTTGCTTAATTCGCACAGAAATCTACACAAATAAAGCTTTATTAGAATTACTTTAAAGCTTTATTTAACAAAATGAAAATGTTATTATTTGCTGCAATTGTTTGCATCTAGTAAAATTATCTAATCACAGCGATTAACAGCTTCCTTAAAGCACACTTAACTGCAATAAATAGTCGATTTGCATTGTTGTTGCTGTCATTGTATGCTCATTGCCTCCACGCGCAGCTGCGCACTATCAATTAAGCCGTTGAATATACATAAAGTAATATATTAAAACGAAGCACGTGCGGAAGAAGTACGTAAGTATATAGTTACATATCAAATGCTGTTGACATGAAAGCGCTCATACGAAGCAAATTAAATAATTATGTTTTCTGTAATTTGCAAAAAGTCACGTAGTTATTTAATATTTAATAAATTGCTGATAAAATGGAAATTTAATATAGTTTGGTGAAAAAAAAAATTAAAGGCGAAGAAAAAATTTTCTCTGCGGCTACACCAAAGCTATAACACCCTTTAAAAATGGATTTTTTATAACCTAAAAGGATATAAAAATATCTTTATCTGAATTTGGATAGGACAGTTTATGATAATAAGCTGTGCCAAACTTCCAAAAGAGACCTCGTCATATTAAAAGTATTCCTCACAAGGATTTGAGTTTAATCGGTCAGTTTGTATAGCAGCTATATATATGCTCTAGTTGGTCTTGCAGATACCTCAAAAATTATACGACTAATTCGCGTATATACAAACAGGCGGACAGACAGACTCAACTCTTCATGCTGATCATTTACATATATATACCTATATACTTTTTAGGGATTCCGCCGTTTCCTTCTGGGTGTTAGAAACATCTTGGAAAACTAGATATACCCTATTCAGGGTAAAAATAAAATAAAAGGGTGTTAAGGTCATAATGTAAAAAAAAAAAAATGCTTTCGACTACTGTTTTTTCATTTCAGTTTCAAAATAATTCTTTAGTACTCTTGTTCCAAAATGTCTTCAGATCAGATAACTGGAAATACTATAATTTGTAATATATATTATATCTATACATTTTTTGTCCATATGTATTAAATATATTTCTTTATTTTTAATAAAGTACAATATATCGATTTCAACATACAACAAATGGCACAAAAATATTTATTTCAGTAATTTTTTTTTACTAATTACTTGCAACGTAACACTGAAAATATTTATGATATTTCACAAGTTACCGAAGTTTGGTACTTTGCACTCCGCTCATAGATGTGTATATAAAATTAATATTATCTCAATTATCATTTAACAGTGGTTCGCACTGGGTGTTTAGGAGACTTTAACTCGCTTGTCATCCTGCCTTGCGTTACGTAAGTAAATGGTCAATGTTGAAACTTTCAAGGCTCTTCGGCAAACATTCAACCATTCGGCTCGAATTGTCAAAGGTGTGGCTGGTTATAAATATTTGCTGCAAGAGAGGCGTCGGTGTATGTATGTGTTGAGTTTTGATAATATTTTAGTGATTGATTGCCAAGTATATTAAGGTCATTTAGTTGTCATCCCTTTTGGCGAATATCGATTTTATTATTATTGTAATGCCAAGAGCATTTATTTAGTTCATTGACATTATTGGGTTAAGTGTACATTAAAGTTGAATACATGAGTGTATATATTAAAGCTTTAATTCAGTACATACATATGTATATATTTGTATACTACACATTCATACATATAACTCACCTTTCAGTTAGACGGGAACTAGATTTCGATATCGTAAAAATGGAAACATGCTGTTTTTATACTTTGAACAGGATATACTTATTAAATTCTCCACGAAGTTTGTAACATCCAGAAGGAAATATCGCACTCCTATGATATACAATATATATATATATATTTTTTTGTTATTTTATTTTTTTGGTATCAAACTTTTCACAAAAGTTAGTAACAAAATTATTTATTATTATAATATTTTCGGCATGAAATCAGCAGTGGTTATGGAGATACAAGGTTCGTTCCAAAGTAAACAGGATTTAAAAAAAAAGACAGAACAAATGGTTTTATCGGCAAAATCAATTAATTTTATACAATATAGTCTCCTTCTGCTTTAATACAGCTTTTTGCACGGTCCAAAAGCTTTTCGAACGAGTGTTTTAGCTCGTTGCCCGGTATGGCCGCCAGTATGATGGTGCAAGCCTTTTGAATGGCCTCCATGTCTGCATAACGCTTTCCTTTTAACGGCAAATACATTTTTCCGAAAAGGTAGAAGCCGCACGGTGCCATATCAGGTGAATACGGGAAGTGGTTGATTGTTAAAATGTGATTTTTGGTCAAATAATCGGTCACAAGCGTCGATCGATGAGACGGCGCATTATCGTGCAACAAACGCCAACTTCCATCTTCGCGATATTCGGGCCGAATGCGACGAATACGTGCTACCAAACGCTTGAAAACTCTAAGGTAGAATACCGCTTCAACGTTTTGGCCGGGTGGAATTCTGTGGACAATACTCTTGGAATCATAAAAACAAATCAGCATTGTTTTCACTTTTGACTTCTCCAGGCGCGATTTTTTGGGTTTCGGCTCATTTCTCATTTATGTCCTCACGACCACTTTGAAAACGTTGAAACCACTCGTGCACTCTGCTACGGGATAGGCAATCATCATTTTCAGTAAAAGTTTTACCAATTTTAAAACAAAATATGATGTTGGCTCCTTGTTCGAAGCTCATTTTCGCACCGATGACAAAAACATACTGACACTTGAAACGCAATAACTTCACTTTCAATAAATGAAATGTCATGAAATTTTTACTGGAAGTCGATAAAGGATAGCAGATTCTAACGCACTAGCCGACATATAGATGGCGCCACTAGAGTTTACTTTGTTACTTTTTTTCTGTTTACTTTGGAACGCACCTTGTAGTTACTGTAGGGTGGATAAATAAACGAATATTTCTTTTCCTTGGTACTCTGGAAAATAGGTTCTTAAACAGCTGTATCAAAGTCTCTGCAAATATGAGCTGTTATTTGTAACGGGAAGATACTTCGCTTTACAAATACCATTTGTTTCTAATTATCAGATAGAAAAATTGTAGAATTGAAAACTCGTTTCAAACTATTTAAAAGTATATCTCGTTTCAGAGATTTTGTAGATCACTGCATGCTCTAAAAAATGGTCTCTTATTTTTTTTTTATATTTTTTACCTATTTTTTTACTATTATTTTTTTTATTGATGTTTGTCGATTAAAAAAATAATACAGCCCATTTTTATAAAGCACTAAATTTTTAACAAAACAAAAAAAATTTTTTTTCATTGTACTGTAAATTTCATAAAAAATAAGTTTTTTTTTATTTGTATTATAATTTTTTTTTTATAGATGTTTGTCGATTAAAAATATAATTCAGGCCATTTTTATTAAGCAGTAAATTTCCAACAAAATTGTAAGTTTTCTGATTTCCAATAATTTTTTTTTCAGCGAGAAGAAAAAAGAAGTTTGCCTTAAAATAATAAAATTTAACCGTTAATATATTTTGAACGGTTAGGTTTGCGAAAAATTTGTTGAAAACTTTTGTTTACAGCAATTAAAATTTATTAAACGATGATAATAAGAATAAAATAGAAAACTGTGCGGCGGAGGACCTTCTCGCTACATTAAGAGCTCTGAGAGAGATTTCTTAGAAGCATCTAAGAACATATTTTTTATAGTACCAAGTGAAAAAAATGATTCTTTTTTCAACTCACTCTGTTATACTGCTTTCGCAAATTTTTAAATGTTTATCGCTATATCTTAGATTCCCCTTGATTTAGTTTGACATCTTCATTGATTTGCCGTTTATTAAATAATCTGGTAAAATACCGAAAGGTGGAATGTGAGGTAGCCGAGGCTTTAGTCCGATTGCTCATATTATGCAAATTTATGCCTTGACTAAAATTTGCTGAATTCATTACGAAATATTATAACTAGATATACTAACACACATTGAATACACGTTCCGGCTTACACTATACGGCATAATATAGAATGACAAATTACTGTGTAAATGCATATTTTATTCTCTATATGAAACAGAAATAAATTTAAAATTTCCTCGTATTTTCTTTACGCCCTTCGCTGATTATGGTCATATACAGAGCTAAAAAACTTACACACAACCATGTATTTTTAACAATTTCATGTACTCACTAAGCACAAAAGAGAGTTTTAAATTAATACACATGCACATAAAAAGCTTAGCGCTTTCAGGCAAGTTTATTTATGAGTTTTTTGTTTTCATGCTGGCTGCTAGGCGACATGCTTGAGTATGGCTTTAATATATTACAAAAATATGTAATGAAATTACTATTGTTAATTACTGCAACGTCGTTAGAAGGGCTCAACTTATGCTGGTTTTCGCGGCCAAAAGCAGGCAAAATGTCCGGGCACATTATTATTTCATTACATTTGTATGTGTGACTATGTAGGAGCGCTCGTGTAAATTTTAATTACAACTTAAGTCGCAGTACGTCGGAGATTTTGGCTGCAAATGTGAGTTTGTAGGTTTGTTTGTAATATTTTAATTTTATGTGAACGAAACGGTTAACATGCGGTCAAGCGGTGTTCCTTTATAATATGATACAATTACGTGTATGTTTTCAGGTAGTAGTACTTATATGATAAGTGACATTACCCTTTTGCATTATACGACTATTAATTGAAGCATAATTTGTCTTTCTAATTAAAAAAAAAAAGTATTTAAACACCGTTTTTTAAAAATTATACTTATTATGAGTTTCTGGGTTGCATTAAATTCCTTCTATAAAGAAAAAAAATATTTAAAAATGGTTATCAGCCTTTAAATTTGTATGGATTAATGCAATAATATTATCAAACACTATACAAAGCAGTTTCTACATAAGATTTGAATTAGTTACAATGCTAATTGAGCTAGTAATGCAATATAATGACGAAGAAAAGTTGAATCAAGCTTTAATTAAATTGCCCATTTATATCTTACTTATATATGAATAATAATTTTACAACTATTATACAATTTTATAACTTATTTTATAAATTTATTATAAATTAAAATGGCTGCAAATATTCCTTAGAAAAAATGTTCACTAACAACTCCTTAATGTTACTCATACTACACGTACGTCCTTCCATTGTACATACTATAAAAGCTTATAAGCTCAGTACATAATTTTATTATTTTTAAAGCACAACTGTATGTTCATTTTGATAATATGTATATATATAATATCAAATACATATCCCCAACACCATGTGTGGATTAAAACAATAGCATTAAGTTTTTCTGTTACCGACACACCGAAACACACAGCACATGGAGGTTAGTTACATTTACTTATACCTTTCCACAGATATTTGTAAGTTTATACATATATATATATACCCTAAACGGGACAGCTATATAAAGTCTGCCACGATATTTGTAACACCAAAAGAGAAACGTCGGATACACCATAAAGTACATATGTTTATGTTATAAATGATCAGCATGACGAGATGAGACGATTTAGCCACTTTTATAGTAAAAAGACGACATTTCAATGTGTTCTTTTAATAAGTGTTAAACGCTGTGCAATTTTTAATGTCAAAAACAGCTATTTTATAAATCTTCAACGGCAGTGAGGGCAGTCTACATTAGTGAATAGATTGAATGTAATCTTATCACTTAAAATTTTTCTCGTAACATGGTAATATGCGGTGTTCTTTTTATTTCCATAAGCATCAAGGAATATAACAGCTGTCGCGCGTACGCATAAATCTTTCATAAAAAAAAACATCGCTATTATATTGAAATAAATAATTATATTTTTCTTTTCTATACAATTTTTGAAAGTATTTCCAGGCATCAGTAATACGAACTATATCAAAGTTTTGAGCAAGAGATCTAGCTAAGAACCAAACTTTTCTAGTTCATAGCGACATCTATACGTCAAGTTTAAAAACTTTTGTATTTTGAAGATCACTTGGAAAATATTAAAACTCTTTAAACATAATACCCAGCAAGCCACGGTTTCCGAAACTCCGATAGATTGAAAGAATTAGCAGGGAAACTAACACAAGTACAACGAGCCACTCATAATGACTTTGCGTAAGTAAAGATAAACGATCACACTTACAGAAGAGTTTCGGATAGCATTGGTATCGCTGTTGGGTAATTAACCGGTGACTTCGCCGATAGTTGGCTTTCAGAGTAGTAGCGTTGAAATAACTTGTGTTTATGTAGTTGATAAGTTATGACATTTTAAAACTAAAAGAAAGATAAAAACTATTGGTGGCATTATGTTGTGTTTGTAGCACTTCTCTTTTTGTTCCCGCTGCTTAAACACTTGCTGTGTCCGCTATTTCTACTCCAAAATTGACATAGGCTTGACATTTCTTTCAATAATATTATTGGCAAACAAATTATTGGAAATAGTCCGTATAACTTTCTGAAATGCGATCATTGAGAGGAGAAAGGCAGCAATTCAGTGAGAGAATAAATTTACCATATTAACCAATTTATGAACTCAGCAATTTTTACAAATGGCATTGAAATGTTTCTTATGCTTCAAACAGAACTATCGCAGCGGAGTGGGGTAGTGCCAAGTCAACCAGAAAGGTTAATAGGGGAACTCCGCAGGGAGGAGTACTCTCCCCACTGCTCTGGATCTTGGTGGTAAACGAGCTACTTATAGAACTCGAGGAGCAAGGCTGTCGGGTGATAGCCTTTGCTGATGATGTGGTTCTTATGGTTAAAGGTGAATTCCTGAATACCGTCTATGAGCTCACCGAAGGGTACCTAAACGTGGTATCCAACTGGGCAAATAGAAGCGGCCTAGCCGTCAACCCAAGTAAAATCGAAATGGTTTTATTTACTAGGAGGTTGACGTCTCCTACCTGTTAATAAGGGGAAATACCTAGGGCTCATCCTTGATAGAAAGCTTTCTTGGAGGCCGAGCATCGAGGAGAGAGTCAAGAAGGCATCGGTCGCCTTATATTGCCGCAGGGGAGCTATAGGGAAAAAGTTGCGACTCTTACCAAAGGTGGTGTTCTGGCTCTACGAAACCGTAGTCAAGCCAATATTGTTCTATGGTGTGTTCGTCTAGTGGAGGGCGCTCGAAAAGACTACCCTGGCTAAAAAGCTTGAGCGAGTCCAAAGAGCGGCGCTCATCGGAATCTCCGGTGCACTGCGAACCACATTAACGATAGCTCTCAACGCTATATTAAATATAGCACCTGTGGACATTGCCGGTAGGTGAATTGCTGCGAGGTGTGTTATTAGGCTCAGGGAAGCTGGGCTTTTGAAGAGGTCTGAAAAAGGACACGCCACAGTTCTCTCCTCCTTCAGCTGCATTCCTGAAAATTTGGATCACTGCGTCACAGCGGCCACTCGAGGCGGAAGCCGCTGGAGAAGAGGCGCGGTGAGCTTTTTCACGGATGGGTCGAAGCTCGGAGGGAAAGTTGGAGGGGGGTTTTCTGAAAAGAGCTCTCCGTCAATCTTTGCTTCAGGCTACCGGACCACTGTATCGGTTTTCAGGCGGAAGTGGCCGCGATCAAGGTGGCGGTAGAGGTACTGTTACGTAGTGCAGCTTCGTTTAGAGAGATGAGCATTCACTCCGACAGCAAAGCGGCAATACAAGCCCTGAGTGCGTGAACCGTGCATTCGAAGCTAGTCAAGGAGTGTCTGTCCTCACTAGAATTAGCATCAGGCAACTTCAATATCAGGCTCGTTTGGGTGCCTGGTCACAGCGGAATCGCCGGGAATTGCAAAGCCGATGAGCTGGCCAGGGGGGCACCCTTGCCCCGCTCACATCGGAATGGGATCGCGTTCGTTCTCCGCTAACGTCTTGCATTCCGGCTCTGAACCAATGAACCTCGCATGCGCTCAGCAGACGCTGGTCGACGACCAACTCCTGCGCGATCCTTCGCAGGAAGTCGGGGGATCTTCTCGCCTTGAAAAAAGTTCACCTCGCCGCCATGGTAGGAGTTCTCATTGACAAACGGATATTGGCTATCTCAACAAGTTTGTCATAGGCACGAAGCGCTTTGTCGATATGTAAGGGTCTATTGATCCGGCTCATAGGAGTTTTGGGATTCTTCTTAGGATCGACCTCTAACCTAACCTAACCGTGGACCGAATCAGCAGACGACCTATCTTATGAGACCGCAATGTAAGTAAGCACTCGCCACCGCTTCTACAGACCGTATGGTAGGATATCCGCGAAAATTGGAAATCGTTTCTACAAGTAGAACAATAGCAACATTGCATTGGTGAAAGAGTAAGTACAGAAGGGAGGAGCGTCGGTGATTGTTTGAACTATTAGACGTCTGTCATATATGCATGCTTAAGCTAAATTAATTAAGCGCGAACAGCTAATACAAAGAGTCTACTTAGTTATTCTAATAATCTTGTCGCTGCTAATTGGTCCATTTAAATATGATAAACTTAAATCAAACACAACTTTGCAATTTTTACACAAAATAAAAATTTATATATATTTAAATAGTGTTTATATACAGATATTCAACTATATGAACATGTTATGTAAATAAATAAAGTTCCAACTGCTTAGCAGTAAATAACAAACTATGATCTCTTAGATTTTAAAAATATTTCCCACACAATATCACATACGAAAGATGTGTTCTTAAACACCTTTCACGGGTTTCTATGAAACACCCACATTTAATTACGCAACGCCTAGCGCTGCACCACGTGCGGCCAACTCATTACAACCAATCACTCAACTGCCAAACGAAGAGGCTAAGCAACAAACCAAACCACACAACAGACCGTAGAGGACAATTACGTTCGCGAAATATGCACAAACTCAATAGAGTAGAGTTTTATCTATGTACATTTCATCCCACAAGCGCAACTTTTCTGCTTCGGGCAGATCTATCACCTCCAATTCGTCGGAGATATTCAAACATTTGAATACGTCGAAGTCATGTGAAATTGGTAGCCATGTCTCTTGTGATGGCGTTTCATTTTTCGTCAAAGCCGCATTCACCTCCAGCGCCAATTCGATGCCGTCTCTGACGCTATCATCATAACTACTCTCCCTACTATGCTTTTGGCTATGATGTTTGTGCTCTTCACCACATGCTTCGTGTTGCAAATTTAAAAGCGCGTTACTGCTGCTATTTTGAATATTGACCTGAACTCGCTGCACATTTTGTTCCACTTGCCGATGCTGATGATGGTAATGGTAGCTATGGTCGTGCCCTTCATTCATTGGTATATTTGGATTACCGCATTCGGCAAACCGCACAAGCATTGTGGTCAATCGGCGTATGGTGCGAAATTCGGCGCTATGTTGATTTAGCTTCTTGGCACCCGCATTGTAGAATAAGTAGGAGAGATCGTCAGCATGACAGGTGCCGCGCACGTTGCGACCACAGGTGATGATGCGCATGAAATTGAAGTGTTTCGAATCGAAATCGAAACGATAGAGGTAAGTAGGCGAATTTGCGTGATGAAACCGTGATAGTAACGTACGATGGATACCATGCCAAAAGTATTTGTAAGAAAAGAGCTGGAATGATAGAAAAACATAATTCGAAATGCATAAATAGTGTGACCTTAAAAGTACTAGAAATAAAGAACACTCTAATAAAAGCATGATTATATGGATATGTTTCATCGTCAACCTGTTTGAGAGCTTGAAAAACTAACAGAAAAATAGTATTTTCCAGATGAATTAGATGCAATAAGGGCTGCAGTGAATATATTTTAAGATTTGTCTTCAAAAGAATTTAGCTCTCCAAAAGCAATATTAACGCAAAAAAAATCGATCCAAATATGTTAGAATAAGTTGCATTCATAATTTATATACTCACATCTGCATACTGGAGTATTGTTTTCCAAGAAGGTGTATTGTCACCGAAATGTAGACGCAGCAACTTTTCACCGTAAGCCTTTCGTTGGTCCACATTCATATTCGCATCATCCGGCACCAAATATGTGGCATCTTCACTTAATTTTTGCATTAGTTCAGGATATTTACGCGCTTCGGTAAATATAAGAAGACCTTCTGAACTATTTCCACCAATTAGCAACGGTATATCATTGCCCCAAGCGCTACGCATCATTTCTAAAGGCGGACGTGGTATAACACAATGTTTACTCTCATATGGCTCCACTGTTGGTCCAAAACTGAACATCATTCTTTGATGACGCTCATCGCTGGTGAGCAGATCTTCGCCCACCTTCAACATAGTGCTAGCTTTGCACTGTTGCAAGTGTTCGAAAACTTGTCGATCAACATTTTCACCGCGGTAGCCACTGGCTTTCGCCAATCGATAAGCCCAATTGTGTTGTGGTATATTGGCCCATGGTGCCAGTGCGGTACCAGACATTAAGACACACTTGTGAAATATATGACGAGTTTGTTCGGTGAGCATCATGTAGTGTGTTGAGGCAGCACCAGCGCTTTCGCCAAATACAGTAATATTGTCGGGATCACCTCCAAAAAATTGACAATTGCGTTTAACCCAACGTAGTGCCATCACTTGATCTTTGAGACCGGCGTTGCCGGGCACATCCAATTCGGGATCCTCCAGCGTAAGGAAGCCTAATGAGTAGAGTAAATAAGGCGATAAGAGTAATAAGTCATGTTTAATAGTTAAGAACATATAGGTTTGGTAGAGGAATTGGCTTTTATTTCTAGGTATTAGTGAAAATTATAGGAGATAACGGAAAAAATTTAGATTTAAGTTCAATTTTTGATACAGTTAAGAGAATAATCCCAATAATTTTTATCATTGAGTAGATGCGACACTTTATCAGATTATTTTGTAGTTTTATAAGAACTCAGAATTGAATGCGGTAAGGTTAAGAAATTTTTTTTTAAAAACTACCAAAATTTTGTCTTATGTCATTGAGAAGGAGAGAAGGAAAGAATAGTCAATGATATCATCGAAGAGACTAGCGTTCACTTAATGGCATAGAGTAGTCTATTGCTTCTACTCTACACGATTACATTCTATGAAGCTCGTTATTAATTGAACTTGCTTAATAAATTCGTTTGTTCTTACGAACCGCTTAAATTATCTCCAAGCTAGTTGAATAATTTTTATCAAACTAAAATTACTTCGTTGAGCCTAACTTTGGGTGCCGGTCTATTAAATTTCGATACTCGGATGACGGTAAGACAGATGAGATAGCAGAGGAATAAGCTCCGTATTATTAAGAAACCTACTTACCCAGTGGACCCAAACGATATGCGACAGTAACAACCACAACATTCTCCATCATGAAATAATCAGGACTGTACATATCGCGAGAGGCTTCGCCCATTTGAAAACCGCCACCATAAATCCAAACCAAAACCGGCATCGGTTTCAGGGGATGCAGCTGTGAAAACAAATTTTATTAAAAAAAAATACTATTAAAAAGATTCCATAAGACTATGGGTACAATCTATGTTAAGTAAAATGCTGTTTGAGGGCTCACCGTTTTTGTGAACACATTCAAATATAGGCAATCTTCACGCCCTTGCACTTGCTTCAGTATAATATTGTATTGAGTTGGTTTAAGCTGCTCACGTGTACAGCGCCGTACATTCGCCCATGGTTCTGGTTCTTCAGGCGCTCTAAAGCGCAAACGTCCAATTGGTGGCTTGGCAAATGGTATACCCTCAAAGCTATAATAAGAACCACCATAAACCGAATGCCATTTGACGCCCTTCACTTTGCCATAAATTGTGTCCGTCACAATTTTTTCATTTGTACGCAAGCGCCTCTGATTGGTTTTGAATTTCACATAGCTTAAAATGTAAAGAAGAGAAAAAAACAGGTTAGAAAATGAAAAATATTTACAGGGAAATTTTTTTTTTTAATTTTTTTTTTTTCAAAGTTGAAATTGTTTTTCGTTAGTATAAATTGCTTTAAATAAACTAGAAATATGTGTCAAAGTCTCTTCATAAATTTTGCACGAACCCGGAGTGAACTTGTGCTGGCAGCTGATAACAAATCAGCGGTCTGCGAGCTTATCGCTGTAAGTGTCGTATACATGAAATACTTTGAGTCGTTGAACATAAAACATATTTAAATACCATAATTAGGGGTTCTTTCCTATTAAATTTCTTTAAAAAAAAAAACAGACTTAGCTTTACATGCAGGCATATGCAGATTTGTATTTGCTATATTTATTTTTGCGGTTTATTCTTTGATTAATATAATAACATTTATTTACGTCAATAAACAAATTTGTATCTGATTTGATTTATATAGCCCTAGTAGAAATGATCAAATCAACGGATCCGGTTTGATTGGTAATTACCTTATCGCCGTACGTACATATACATATATTGCGCACTTAAGTGCAGTTATGAATTCTTTATAAGAACGTCACACATGGGGGCTTGTAGATTGCGCGAATCAAAATTAGATTTTCTAGTATACAGACACTATCTGTGTATACGACTATATTAATGGAATAATTGCACTTGAGAGATGCTGTTGTAAATTTAGCTGGTATGTACTATACTTGTATATATCTTTATAAACTTATTTGTGAGCTGAAGCGTCTTAAACTGTCTAACTGCATATTAATTGTAATAACATCTATTTAAATTACATTAATTGGCATTCCTTAAGGTCATAGAGATGACAACTAGTGTGGAAAATTCTATCTACAATCTACAACTCATACTTGACGGCCATTATGTAATCACTGATTTATTGTACATAACATGAGTAAGAGACAGTGTGTCCACAAAAATCATTTTTAAAATCAGATACCTCAGTAGTTGACATAGGACAAATCAATACAATGCAAATTAAAATTTCATAACTTTCATAATTAACAGTATTATATTTAAAAATTAATTATGTGCCTAAAGGCAGGCAACATTTTATGATACACCAAAATATAGTGAAGGTGTCTGGCGCGCCATTTAAAAACTAGCCACCAATTGTGGAGTAGTTAGATCTTTCACCAATATATGATTAATGAGTGACTGATTGGAACGATCTTGAGTCAAAATAAATCCTGGACTAATTTATTCTAACAATTTGAGAGAGAGAAAATCTGCATAAATGGCTGTTGCTACATTATATTTGTTCGCAACTCCACCAGAAACGTAATGTGTAGAACGTTACTGGTTCGAACAAGTTTGAGCGTTATGTTATATTGCGAATAAATTTTTTCGGTTCGCAAAAAAAATAACGTTCACTGGATGTCTGTTTCAAACAGAGATGACATTTTGTGTTTGAAAATTTTTACCATATAAAATATAAAAGCTAATCTTCGTTTGTGTATATGGATACAATATTTATGATTCATAAAAAATGTTCTATAAACAATAATATATTTTATCAATAAAAGCTGCTTTAAATTTTTTTGTCGCTGTTCTGTTACTTTGCTCATAGATTAAAGAGAAGTTAAATTTAACTCAGCACACTAAGTACTAATTTATCAAGTTATAATTTATCTATTAATCATATAAAGCGTAGACACTTAGCCGAACACAAACAGCAAACAAATCGATTATCAAATTGGTTGACGAGTCATTAATCAATCCTTCAGCAATTGCTTTGAGTCGAAAGTACAATGAATTTAAATAATTTTTTACAAGTAACTTTAACGCCTAATTTATTGCTATCACGTACAACTTTATTGCTTTATTGCTTGCGAACAGATAGTTCCGTAGAATTACCATAAAATGGCTTTATGTTGTTTCTTTTTTTTTATAAATGTACGAATATGCGTAAATACGGTTTAAATCGTGTAAATCATGCAGTCAGCGAATTCGTTTCGAAAAATACGAAATTATTAAGATTAGATTTACACTTATTTGAAGTATTATTTGATTGCAATTGTAAATTCGCTAGTGAAACACTTATGCGTGTGCTGTCTACAATCGCTGGCACTATAGAATTATATTTTAATTTTTAGCAATCATACCGATGGAATAGCAAATCTATCAAAATAAATCTCTTTAATGAAAAAGAAAAGGTACTACTGATTTTAGAGTACTGGCAATATTAAGATTACTTTTGTGGTTTTAGTCAACAAGAATTTTGCATCAAATCCAAGTCATATGAGACTACGCCCGTTCATAACCACTTTGCTCTATGTCCGCTGTCAGCAACAGTTCGGAAATGGCATAACACTTAAAGAACCCTCTAACTGAAAAGGTGTAAGCGCATATGAAACCCATAGAAAATATAAAATACAATATTGTCATAACCTAACAGCTGAGGTTTCAGTGTTTTCTCTTGTCTTAAAGTAATCGTTTTTTGATACATGCCTTTTTCACAGCATCTCACAGTAGTCTTGTAGTATTTCCTATTATGGTTGTGTTCCAAAACCTGAGCTCTTTGTATAGTACTACGTGCATTAATGTGCAGAGATCTTCATTGAAAAACTATCTGATACGGATTGTTGCGGAAGGAACCTGCTACTCAGCTTATTTCGCTTTTTGAATCATTGGGGAGTACATATATAGTGCAGTGAAACTATGTTATAGTAGTTATACAAGTATATATCAGATTGCACCTGTTACGAGGGCTTAAAACGCCAAATTTTTGCTAGTAATTTTCAATTTACTACAATTATAATTATTAATTATTTTTTAATTATTACGCTTAATTCAAAATATATCTTATTCAACTTGTTTGGGATTTACTACAGCCAGGCGTTAGTTCTCTTTTTGTATTGTTTAAGTGAGTGAGTGCGGTTACAGTCAATGTTGCATAGAAGGAGAACAGGAACGAGTAATCGAATGCCGCATATCGTCGTCAGTACATATAGGTAGTCTCTGATTTGCAAAATTTGTCTCCAAATGCCGGCATAAATTATACAGTTCACATACATACATACAAGTATAAGCTTGTTTTGTATATGCAAAAGCTGGTAAAATATCTGTGTAGTGTTGTTGTTTTCAGCCGACTATAACAGTACAATTAATGCATTGTAGAATGATTGTCTGATGCAAATTTGTTGTGTGCTTGTCAACGCTTGTCGAATTGGATTCTAATAAATATGTAAGTATAGGTATATGTATATATGTACCTTTAAGTGACTGCTAAGGCTAGAGGCTTGCTTGTTGATATACTGGTTATGCGCTTGTACATACCTAGGTATGTATGTGTGAATATAGATGTATATTCTTGTTCAATAAAATTTAAAATAATTTATTTTTATTGATGGAAATTTACAATCTTAAAGTCAAGGTCCAGTTTACATTTCTTTTGACCTCGACCATACATCTTTGGGTAAGGTAGGTTCTTAAATTTTTTTTGCATTACACTCCATTACATATATATGTATATATAATAATATATATATAATATATTATATTACATACCTACTGGGTTTTGCCATAAGTTCTGTTACAAAACTTACAATGCATATAGAAAGAACCAATTCGTAAAAAAAAGTGCCGTTACTTTTTATTATACTCTCGCAACATGTTGTTACAGAGTATAATAGTTTTGTTCACCTAACGGTTGTTTGTATCACCTAAAACTAATCGAGTTAGATATAGGGTTTTGTATATATAAATTATCAGGATGAAGAGTCGAGTTTAAATCCGAGTGACTGTCTGTCCGTCCGTCCGTCTGTGCAAGCTGTAACTTGCGTAAAAATTGATATATCTTTATGAAACTTGGTACACATGTTTCTTAGTACCGTAAGACGGTTGGTATAAAAAAAAGTTTCATTATTTGTATGCATTATGTAATAAAATTAACTTTATGAATAATAATTTATAGTTTCAAATTTATAAGGTCTAAACTTGTAACAAAACTTATGGCAGGACTAGATATAAGTGCATTATTTCCACATTTCTTACGCAACCGCATTAAAATTTCATATGCCAAAAAATATAATATTTCAATTTCTACTTATTCAAAATATTATTGTATAATTTTTTTGTTAATTTTTTTCAGTTATTGCGTTCTGTTTAACCATACTAATATAATTAGGTATGCAAAATTTGTTTATGATTATATAAGAATGGCCTCAAAAAAGCAGTAAACATTATATGAAGACTCACCGCTGTCGAGCTTGCAGATTTCGCAAAAACTTTAAAAATATGTATGTTATTGTTATATCATTCTATTAATATTGCTATTTAATAGTATTAAGGCAGTTAGCTTATGTATAGCAAACTAGATGCGATGAGCTTTAATTTATAACGAAGGTTAAAAGCATACTGATTTTCACCAGTAAATGTGATTTGCGTTATGCGGCAAGCTTGAGGAATGCAAAAAATCTGAAATGCGTGTGTCGCTTCACCATCAATGCCAATTTCGTGAAGATATCTCATAAAATAAAAAAAAAGAATTTGGTTTTGGTCGATCAGTCTGTATGTTAGCTATATGCTAAGTGGCCCGTTATCGGCGTTTCCGACAAATGAGCAGTTTCTTGCGGCGAAAAAGATGTGTGCAAAATTTCAGATCGAGATCTTAAAAAGTAAGTGACTAGCTTGCGTATATACAGACAAATAAACGAAAAGACCTGTTTAAAGTTTAATTAGCTACATTGAATACAACTGAACGCTATATTTTTTAGTACTTAATTGAGCATTCTTTTGACATACAAGTACAGTGCTAATGTCAAAATATGTAAACACACGAATATTAAGAGCTAACACCGTTATCTCTTTGCTTATATTCAATTTCATAAATGAGTTATATGATTCAGCTTGATTATATATTATTATAATTGTATAATATGTTATCGGAATCAAAGTATAGTCTTCAACAACTACATACATATGTAGTAGTAATGAAAAAAATGTTCAAGCAATTGTCTTCGGTAATCGCCACATCAATCAGTCAGAGTGTAAAAGATGATTTGACAGCTCATACATAAAATTAGATTAAAATTTTAAGAGTCCCAGCATCAATAGTGACTATTTTCACAATTTGTAACGCTTTGTAATTTATTGTGTTAATTTCATACAATTCAGTGTAATGAATAATTTTTGAAGGGATGACAATTTCAACTCAATCACCAAAATGATCATACGGCTTTTCGGCTTTCAGTCAACCGTGTCAGGGCTTATCAGCCAATTACTAGGCAAGTACAATAGCCTCACCCCTCATGCACATAATTATAATTGATTAGGTGTATATTCCCTTAGCTTAGCCGCATTGCTGCGCCCACATACACGACATATGGTTTACAAATATATATATATATAACATCACGGCTTTGTAATACATATAACATTAGTAGCACCGAGGTCAAAGTTCAAATTGCTTTTAACCGCAGGACACATTAGTGATTTGCTCTTGCCAATGTATGCACTTAAAACAATTGGAATGGTAGTACATACACAACGTTCCTACAATTAGAGAAGCGCATAACTTTACTTATAGAACTATGTACATACATACATACATATAAATAAATTACAGAGTTCCCTGTTATCTCATTGGCACAACTGTCTGCCACAGCGTCTACACCTGTTAAATAATAAATGCGCTGAAATACATATGTGCGTGTGAGCTACATATATACAAATCTAAATAAGTAAACGCGTGTAAACGCATATTCAACCACTAACGCATGCTGATGCTTATAAGTATTGTATTATCACCACTATATAGTGTGGCAGATATAATTTGTTAGACATGAAACTACAAAAAAATAATTATATTGTATGCCGTTCTCTTTGAAGACACTGTACTTAAGAATATCTGGGGTCTGTCTAGCGCGTGTCGACTGCGCGCAGAATGAGACGCAATTTTAAGCCTTTCTTTTGTATGCTGGCTGCGTGTGCTAATTGAAATATTTATGCAATATGCATATTGAAAATGGATATAAACAACTTCGGAAGAAAAATTGTTATTTATGTTGGCAATTTTCAATAAAGAAAAAATTTCAAAAGTATTAAACCAACGCTAAATTAAAACTAAAAATAAGAAAAAAACGTTAACTTTAGCTGTATCGCAGCTATAATACCCTACACAAGTGCATTTTTGTAGCATTAAAGGGTATACAAATGTTCTTATCTTGATTATGATCGGACAGTTTGTATGGCAACTATATGCTATAGTAGGCCGATATCGGCCGATCCGACAAATGAGCAGCTTCTTGGTGAGAAAAGCTCGTGCACAAAATTTCAGATCAATATCTCAAAAACTGAAGGACTAGTTCGTGCATATACTCTTACAGGTGGACATTGCTGAATCCACTCAACTCGTCGCGCTGATTATTTATTTATATATATTTAGTCATTTATTACTACATGTTTGGGCCTCACGTGAACTTGGTAAAACATTGAACTCATGAACTAGCACATCGAAAGGTCCTACAATAAATAAATAGTGAATGTTTGAAAATTTGTATAAAAATGTTTTTTAAATTTGTATTAAATTTGTAACTACAATTTTCCTTAAATGTTGTTAGAAATTAAATTCGGTTCCAATATTATGTAACCCACCTTATGTTTAAAATGATTCTTGCTAGGGCTTTTTTTTTTTTTTTGCTGACTATCAGCGCACACACACTCCGAATTGACACAAAAAAGAAAGCCATAAAAAAACTTCTTACAATTCACTAAATTGGCCTTAATAAATAAGTGCCCAGTCAGAAAGCTTCACATTAATTTCCATTGTATGCAAAGTAGATTTGTGTATAGTTCGAAATATGAAAAAAAATTTATATACATATTTATATGGGCGCTGACATGTTTAATCATATCTTTTTGCGCACGATTATTATCCATCAACGATTTGATTTTCTTCTTGTTATTGCTACTGAAGGACTTAGCGCTGGCTTACCGACACCAGATAATTTATTGATTTTAAGCATTAAGTCAACTAAAATGCAAAACAACGTATCATCAAAAATAGGAAATTTTTTTTTTATTGATTATGATTCACTACTTGTATATCAAATTACATATTTGTACAGAATTTTAAGTTTCTGCTATCAGATATAACCAAGTTATAACCAGAATTAAATGTCACTTCAATATAAGTAGTATCTATTTTATATGGTTTTTTCCTTCTTTAGAAACCTGCGAAAAGTTATGTTATGCTATTTTACATTTCATATGACGATATACTATTGCTGTACACAAGTATTATGGGACAATTTTCTAAAGATTACCAACAGTTAGCAATGAAAGTGCTTTAATAATTTATTCTATTACAAATAATTAAAAAAAATTTCCTAATAATTTACACTGGCACTTACCTCAATGCAATGCGCATCTGGTCACCAAAAGGTATATCGAAGGACATGCTGGCGCTGTTTTAGTTGTTGTACGAGTAGATAAAAATTTTTAACGTGCATAAATCGAAGATTTAAAACGGATGTACAACAAAATTTGACGACTGCCAAAATTTTATTTTTTAATTAATTTAATAAAGAAGTTTTGTTTACAAATTTATTTCTTATGTAACGCAGTCGTTACTATAAACTTTAAATATTTAATTTTCAAGTTATTTTTTTTTTTAATTTATTTTAATCTCACAAAATAACGTCCGAGCAATCTATTTCAAGCTCACTTGAATTTTAGTTAATTTTCTTCACTTCAATGAATTCCAATTTACCGCGCATTAGCGACGTTTATTAAATATATGTACGTGTCTATGTATAAATTGATTTAAAAATCGACCGCAGGATAACGGTGTGTATGCAAGCGTACGTTACTATGTATGCGCATGTGTGTAGCTAGCGTGTTGGCGCGCAATTTCAGCGCACTTGTTGATGTCGCTTACTTTGCTTTTACTTACTTCACTATTCGCGTTTACGGTAAATGTCCTGCAGGCCTATTTGCTATTGACTTTTTCTCCGTGCATTTATTAACCTTTATATATTTATTAATTTTTTTCTCTTTAAAGCACTTTTTTTCATTTATTATTTATACGTTTATATTGCTCGGTTTCGGCAACCGCATTGTCTGTCCGTTTTGCACAAGGGTTGTTCGCCAACTGAGAATTGTAAAGCGCGAGCAAGGCGGCGCAGGCCAACGCGTTGATTATGCACACATACACGCGCCTCACTGACTAAGTGAATGGGCACAAAACTTTTGGTTTGTGTACTTACGTATACATGTGTCTGTGAATAAGTGGCTGGTAAACCACAACCAAACAGTCAGAACAATAATTTACCGACCGGATGTTGAATTATATAAAGAAAGCTTAGTTGAGAACTAGAGTTGTTATAGAGTAGTACAATCGTATAAACTGGAAAGTGCTTTAAAAGGGGAACTGGTTACAAAATTTATTATTCAAAAATTTGGTATTATTTCTGATACATAAAAATTGTTTAATTTTTTTAAGACAATATTTCATACGTTATCAATTACTATTCGTCAACTTTTTGTTTGTATTTGGGAGAAGGTATACAAAAAAAAAAAAATTCAGACAGACGCAGAAGCGGTTGGTGAAATAAGTACTTACTGGAAATATTTTTTGAAAAAGTAATATTATAAGGTCACTTTACCCATTTCTTGAGAGAAATTCTCCAAAAAAACAAAGATAAAACCAAAAGGTTCCATATTAGCATATTATTATTATTAGTATACATTTTTATACGTAACATATAAGTTTACCACAAAGTTTGTAACACTCAGAAGAAAACGTCGGTGACCCTATAAAATATATACATAATTATACAATATAAAATAATATAAATGATTAGCTTGGCGAGCTGAATCGATTTAGCCGTATACTCGTATATGCGGACTAGTCCCTCAGTTTTTGAGATATCGATCGGAAATTTTGCACACGTCCTTTTCTATACCTGCAATACAAACTGAACAATCGGAATCAAGTGCTTGCATGGAAAATTTTTTAATTTGGGGAGATATCTTCACAAAATTTGGCATGGCTAATTGTCTGAAGCAATGTTGTAATCTCCAAAAATATCGAGTCACTATGACATTTAGCTGCCATACGAACTGAGAGATCAAAATCAAGTTAACGTTTTTACTTGTTGTAACTGATTTTTGCACATCCCATTACAAACTTCTCTTGGTGTAGATGGCGCTAAAGTCGAATTGTTACCCATTTGAGGAATAGGGAAAGTTCTATAGATTGTTATATGAAACAAAACTTCTTCGTCTTGACTAAATTAGAACTGGTCCAATTAGGACCCTTACTAAACTAGTAACAAACTTGTTCTACAAGAAGTACTTACAGGCAAACACATCTTTACATTAATACATGCTTATACTCGTATGCTCTTACAAACTACAAGTACATACATACGTTTATGTAAATATATGTAGCAAGGGAGTGGAAAAGCTATCGCTTCCCTGACGGAACATCGCTAATATGCCAACACCGATTCTGATTGTGTCACTGTTGCATGAGCGTGATTGATACACTATCGCTCATTTACTTTATCTCGTTGACTTTGTCGCTGCCGCTCATAGCGCCTCTCACATATTTAATTATATACGTAGATGATATGTACTTACTTGTAATTTGTTAATATGCATGCTACCGCTTGCTAAAACAGCTGCCGGCTGCTAGAGTTTTACGGTTGGTTTTTTTGTGCCCTTATTGCCTAATAAAAAAGGAAACAATCAATACGTACGCGGCAAATAAACATCAAACAAATTGTGGTCTAATTTTCAGCGCAGATGTTTATCTTCGGTAGGATTGAATAAGCAAATTTATGATACATATATGCATATATAACTAAGTTTTTAAATAATTTATATGTTTCTCAAACCCTCTAAAATATTGTATATGTATATTGTAAATGTATGTAAATTGGAACGAAAAAAAATTTTTTTTTTTTTGCCTAGTCTGAGGTTTAAATTTGTTGATTATAAATAAAGACCATTTTCGGGGAAAAAAAAGTTTATAATCTAGAAGGCCGCCTCTTTTAAAGTAAAGTTTCAAGCTAAATTTTTATTTCATAAAACAATTTTTATAAGTGTTTTAGAAGCTGTGGAGAGTTCTCTTTCTGGCCAATCAAAAGTTATCAACTTAAAAAAAATTTTGGTGTTCATTATTGGAGTCTTAAACGACAACATGCTTTCCTCAAGTGTTAAATAAATTTTGAGTCAAAAACCGTCAAATTCGATAGTTTTTATATATATGTGAGGAGTTTAAACCAAAAACAAATTTTTTTTTTTCCTAAAAAAATTTTTACTCGCAACTTTACTTTCAAAGAAGCGGCCCTCTAGATGTTAAAATTTTTTTTTTTTAAAAATTGTAATTTTTATTATATAAAAATGTGACCCTCAGGCTAAGCAAATAAAAAATGTTTTTCGCCCCACCCTAATGTATGGCAAGAAAGATTGGCGGGAAAATCAATAAATATTTTTTGCACATTAAATACAAACAATTTTTTTAGTAAGGAAATGGTGATATTAATTTTGGTTTGATATTGTTGGTAAACGAATTGTTGATAAGTAGGGTTCGGCAAAGTTTTTGGAAGTGCTCCGATTCATTAAGATTTCTGTGAAAAATTTGATCACGTAAAAATACAAACTAATACAATTTTTAAAGAACCAAATTTTAACTAATTTCAAGAGAATTTTAACTCATAACCCTTGTCGTTATGTCATACGTACAACGCATAAAATATTTATTTTCTACAATAGTAACACATAAAAATTATAATATTTGATAAGCATTAGGTTTCTTAGCGCGAAACCACACCACATGACCTCACCCTCCATCAAAGTGGCACGGCGCAGCACATTTATTTGTATAAATTGCCATGCTCATTTTGTTCTATGTTACTAATATTCAGCTAATTAATTGCATAACGTATGATTAGTCATGATTAGTCATATATATATAAGTAAAATTATGCAAAAAATTTAAAGGCAAAAACTACTGCAATCAGATGTAATTATGAGTATTCCGCATAAGGCTGAATAAATGCAAAAAATGTAACAAAACTATATGAAATGATATAGAGCAAACTTTAATTGAATTAAACACGAAGGGCTGTTTTAAGCTTCTAGAAACGTTTACAATGTCAATCGTGACTGAAGTTTTAAAATGTGCTAAAGAAATATTTTACTAGGAAGTTTACAAAAGCTCTCCTTAGAAAAAATATTCACATTGTCAGCGGAAATGTATCAAAGATATTTAACTCATTCCCCTAAGCATCAATTCTTCCGCCTTTATATTAAAAAAAAAATATTTCAGATATTTTATTAAAAAATACGTATTTCTTTTTCGTATATAATTATTTAATACACACACCCATGTTGATAACCTACTAATTAGATTTAATTAAGAAAGACATATCAATAGACTGCACTTATTATGTCACGCATATTGATATTGCACCAAAGTTAATATTTGCTGTCATTCCCATCAGTTATTGCTAGTTTTAGACGTCAATACGTATATTTAACATTTATTCTAATAAAGGTGCATTTCACATAAACTCCCCGTAGTACAAGTATTTATTAAATTTGAAACACTCACTTTATATGGATATTTCTACAATAATAAATACGGAATCAAATTATAGTTTTGTTTTAACAAAAATAACTTATTCACGGCTTGCATGCTGAATGTAATTAGTTGAAATATGTCTAATTAAATAACCGGTCATATTACTAAATGTGCTATGTATTTACTAAAAAGGCATGTAAGATATTTCCATGAAACTATCAATGCTTTTCTGAGTGAACATTTACGCATTAATATAGTTGAATGTAGCGTTGGATTTTGATCGTTCGGTTTGTATGACAGCTATATGCTATAGTGACTTCATCTGAACAATTTCTTTGGAGGTGGCACCATTTCCCCGGACTTATGGCACATTTAGTAAAGATATCTCGTTAAATGAAAAAGTTGTCTATACAAGCCCTTGATTCCCATCGTTCAGCGTGTATTTCAGCTATAGTAGGCCGAACTTAACATTTACACCATTGTGTTATGCAATAATCTATGCCAAATTTCTTGAAGTTATCTCGTGAAATGAAAAAGTTATCGGTACAAAATCTGTCTCTCGTTCAAATTGTATGGCAGCTATGTGCTATAGTGATTCGATCTAAACGATTTGTTCGAAAATTCCATTTGCTTGATATTTGTCTTGGACAATAATCCACATAAATTATGTTGAGGATATCTCATAAAATTAAAAAGTTTTCCGTACTACAACTTGTGATCGTTCAGTTTGTATGGCAGGTTTATGCTATAATGGTGCGATCTTAATTTTTATTCGGATATTGTAGCGTTGCTTTGGGCAATAACTCATGCCAAATTTCGTAAAAATATGTTGTCTAATAAGAGGGTTTTTTTATACAGAAACTTATTTTTAATCGTTCAGATTTACATACCGTCTTGAGGAAGTTTTTAATAATCAAAACGATAAAATGGCCACACAAACTTAAATTTAAAATATTATATATTTTAAAATATTTCTGGATTCATAGCTGCAGTTGATTGGTCGCCTGGAAGTCCAGATTTGAGCCCATTGTACTACAGTTTGTAGACAGAGTTAGACAATATCGCCTGTCGAAAACAGAAATTTAAAGATCCTAAATATATTTTTGGATTGAGCAGCGTTATCAATTCATATAGAAACTGTGCATGCTGCTATAAATCAATGGCCGATTCGGTTGAGAGTACGTGTGGAAGCAAAAGCTGGCCATTTCGAATATAATTTTGCACATCGCCAATTTTATACAGCGTGCTGGCCATTTTTGTGTACGGATTATGATGTGTTAAACTTCGTCAGTATATTTAATATGGTTTGCCAGTTCATCAAGTCGCGTTTCACTTTGGTACAACGCTTGGAAAAGGTCCAAGATTAATACGAAAATTCACTTTCTTCGGAAAATTTGGAAATCTGAAAGATCATCTTCTCCGATTAAGCACATTTCTGGCTTAATGGCTTCGTCAACAAACAAAATTGTCGCGATTGTGATGGGTCAAATCCTGGTGTGAATCAAGAAGCGCAAATGCATTCCCAAAACTGAGCGTTTGGTGCGAATTATGGTCTTAGCGGCATGATTAGGCCGATATGTCTATCGAAATAAGGCAGAAAATGCCATTACCATCAATAGCGATCGTTATAACACGATGTTGACCGACTTTGATTTCCCCGAATTTGATGATATCGCCGCGAATGATCTCTTTTTCCGACAAGGCAATGCGCTGCCTCATGTTTCCAGGCTAAACATGGACATATTGCGTGAAAAGTTTGGCGACTCGTGGCTTTTGTGAAGATTATTTTCTCTGGGGGTATGTTAAATCAAAGGTTTACAGTAATCAACCAGCAACCCACGAGGAGCTCGAAGACAACATTTGGCGCGCTGTAGCCGAAATTCCACCCAAAATACCGCACAGGGTCAACGAAAATTAGCGAAAACGGGTGAAGATATGCAATCGCAGCCCTAGTAGCTATTTGGCTGACATTTTGTTGTAATCATAATTGGCAAATATTATCTGCATAACACAAAAAAATGCTTTTCACACAAAGACTAAACGTTTGCTTCATTTCTTACTGTTCATTTCATTGCATGTGTATTTTTTTTTATTAAGTTACATATTTTGTACAAATTTTACAAATATTTAAAGCTTTAGTATATTCATTTTCATTACTAATAAGCTACTTTTTAAACCAATATTATATACATATTGTACATATATACATTTAGTCAACATAATTAATTTTCGTTTAATTAAATTAAACGCATACGCAAACAATAACTACACGATCAACAAAATATATAATTGAACTATATAAGTTTATAAAAATATACATAAATTCTTTTATAAATATTTCTATACAAACAAGTGCCTAATTTTATCCAAATATACGTATTTCCTGGCTACTACTTTTCACTTCAATATAGCAACTCGGTGTGCTTGTCGTAAGCGCTCGCCCATAATTTTGCCTTTGGTAATTCTGGCCATTCAATAAACTTCAAATCATCGCTAATATTCAAACACTTTAATTTTGGTTCACTTTTTTTCAATGGCTCCCAAGTCAATGTTACCATACCAGGTATATCCTCATCATTTGGATTGCCACTGCGCGCAAATTGTGTCCAAAAGCTTATCATGCGATTAATAGTCTTATATTCACGACTCTCTGTTGGCAAGCGTTGAGAGAAAAGATTTGAAAATATATACGAAAGTTCATCACCATGCGCCACACCTCTTAAACCACGCCCCATACGCAATATACGATAAGGATGTGGCAACAACTCCGAGTCAAAGTCGAAGCGATATAGGTAAAGTGGCGCACCGGCGGCATGCGATAAACGTGATAGTATAAGACGATAAAGCGGAAAATGTAAGTATGAGTAGGCGATGATCTGAAATATTATGAACAAAAAAGAAATATTGTATTTCTGCTGATTATGTGTGTGGGTGTGTAATGAGTAAACTTACATTTTTATATTCTTCTATAGTAGGTGTCTTACCACTCACATGCGTCGCTCTCAATTTTTGCTCGAATTTTCCACTCTCTTCATTATCGGCTATTTCGAAAGGCACAAAGGGCTTCAGAGAATAACCTTTCTGCTTTTGAGCTGCACTAGCTAAGATCTTGGCACCTGAAAAGTATATGTGTTACATCCCAAAAAAATTATAGAAGCTAAAATATTTATCGGTCCAATCATTTAAGAGTTTAAGTTATTTGTTAGATATAGCTTGGGTCCATCAACTTAATCACAACACGATTCTCTACTATGAACTTTGCCGAGCTCCACCGAAAAAAATCATCCTCCACTGAAACAATTTTCCTGCCATATGGTTTACCATTTGTATATTACTCACCCTGCATGAAGATAAGGCCTTCGTCTGACGTATGACCTACCAGCAGCGGTATCGCATTGCCCCACGCAGTCTTCATCATTTCCCTTATTGGCTTCGATATAATACATTCAGGCGTCACATATGGCTCCACACAGTAGACGAAAGGCGTTGATATATTACGTGCACGATCATCCGTCGTCAGCGTGCGACCTTCAAGCCCTATCAGATCTTTCGCTTTACACTTTCTTAAGAATTCGAGTATATTTTTATCATTATCAACACCCTTATAGCCAGCCAACTTTGCAAGATTGAAAGCACGATATTTTTGATCTTCCGTCTCCCATAGAGGTAGAGCAGTGCCCGACATTAAAATGACGCGGTGAAAAAGTCCTTGTGTCTGTGCGGTCAGCATCATGCAGTGTGCGGCGGTAGCGCCAGCGCTTTCACCAAAAACCGTTATGCAGTCAGGATTACCACCGAAACTCGCGCAGTTATTTTTAATCCATTTTATAGCCAGTACTTGGTCTTTAAGACCAGCATTGCCAGGTACATTACATTCGGGCGTGTTGAGCGATAAAAAGCCTGGAGTGGAAAAAAATTATATGACAAATTTATATATTATTTCATAGTATTAAATCTACACACTCACCCAACACACCCAGTCGATACTGTATTGTCACGAGCACAATATCTTTTTGCATAAAATAATCAGGTCCATACCATTCACGTGTAGCCTCACCGGTGCAGAGTCCACCGCCGTGTATCCAAATCATGACTGGTCGCGGCTTATCGGGCTGTGTCTATGAGTATATAATTTGTTTTTAAAAAGATAGTTTCGTTCCACAAGATTTTTGCACGTACATTATTTGTATACACATTAAGGTAGAGACAGTCTTCGGAGCCTTCCATTGTGCCGGTTATGACATGTGTCTGCACAGCGATTTCTTTGGTACTTTTGCAATCTCTTACACCCTCCCATGGTATGGGCCGCTGTGGCGCTCTAAAGCGCAACTCGCCTACAGGTGGTTGCGCATAGGGTATGCCCTCGAAACTGTAGTATGGCACGTCGTAAATAGTTAATCGCTTATTGCCTTCTACTTTTCCATACTCAGTCTCCACAATCGACGTTTCGCCGGTGGTATGTCGATTTTGTTGGTACTTGTGTTCATAGACTCTAAAAATTGGGTGTAAAAAGCGAAAGGTGTTAAATGAGAGCTCATTAAGTTTTGATGCGATTGGGATAAAAATAAAATACAAGTGGAGACTTCTTACTCACATAACTGTGGTTTGAAAGAGAATAAGAATTAATTATATAATGAGTCCATTTCATTAATTTTTTATATAACTACTTTGTACCTTAAAATTAACTTAAACTGAGTTTTGATCTATGTATATGTTCTACGAAGTACAATAGTAGTCTGTAACTTTAGACAATACATCAGAGTAATTGCTTTTATCATTAGCAATAAAGTCATGCTTATGTCAGTAAGATGAGAGGTGGGACTAAAATCCGCTTTATATCTGATAAGAATAAATTATTTGTGGCTTTATGACTGTAAGTGGTTTGATTTTCTTCACTTAGAATATACGAGTATACTTTTTTTTAGAAACACGACAGAACTATGTAATCTCTACTACTTTAATGGCTGCTGGTAATAGATTGGCTGGTCTCACATATTTGTAGTAAGGTAACGATTTATACAGTTTCGTTATGTATGCGAAGGCTTAATCCAATTTTCCATACACGTGTTACAAACTTAAGCTAGAATGATCCTTCAGTGTTTTCAGTTTTCTTCGATTCCGGCTTATTTTTGTAGTGTTATTCGTTATATTGTTGGAAAGCTTCGACGTAATATTCATAAACCCACTTCTCATAATGATGCGTTTGATGAATGTAGGGTCCTCAGCTCTGCAAAAAAGTCCATAAGTCAGCCTTTTAAGCTGCCATACCCCTGCAATATATTTCAACCAGAGGTCTTTGCTATTGGGAAAGCCAAAGGACTAGCCTCTAACGCATCAACTAACAACTTTAAAGTCAACATCTAGGCAGGCAATAACCTTGTTTCGTATATCGGCCATAGATGTCTTGGGAAGCAGACTTCACTTCTACTGGGTGTCAGATCACAACGGCATCGATGGCAATGAGATAGGAGACGAGCGTTAGATAAGAAATACAAAAAGTTCTTATTCACTTTTGATACAAGTGACTTTAGGAACATAAATAGAATATTCACTGATTCGCGCCTGCAGAATGGGGTTGACAGAACGAGATAACTGCAGGAAATTTCAAGGGCAAGGCACGAGAAAAATAATGAAGCATCTCTTGTACACTTGTCCCGCAATAACAAGGCCACGCGACAAGCATTCGAGAGCCACACGTAATGTTGAAGGAGCTATCATCCTGAAGGATAACAACTGCTTATGAACTACATGACGGCATTCCATCTGGCATCACTAAGGATCAAAACTGATCTATGCGTGGCTCATGAGCCTACCATACTAATTTAACCTAACCTTTGGTATGAGTCAACAATTGATACGCTTCATACCCAAAACATTAACCAAAATGCGTTGAGCCTATCCAAAAGAGATATTGAGATCATCTGCTATATCTTTGATGCTAACACGATGATTTTTAAGCTCTGTTTCATTGAGTTTTCCGATGTTAACGTCAATATGAGAGATGCATGTATAAATCGCATGAGGTATATTCTCGATGACTTCACGACTTTCACTGTAAGTTTTGATTCCCCAAAACACTACTGCAACATTTTCATTGTTTTCGTAGCCGTTCTTCCTTTGAAAACACAAAATTTCAAGCGAACTCGTTGTAAATTTTTTTCCTTGGTAAAAACCGTCAGACACACTTTTCGCGACGTAAACAATCATCTGCCAAACACTCATTAATTGACATGTTGAGATAAAACTTTACGCGAACTTCAAAAAAAGGATGTACAAACCAAGTTAAAAAAAATTATTGATTCAGTTTGAGCGCGCGGTTTAAATGAACCACTTTGGGTCAGATTACATACATCAATCTCTGAACATTTTACCGATGTGGAAATATCAAGAATGTTCAGCGGTTTACAATGGAAACATAAAACTTTTTTCCACTATATAGTTTAGTCACTAAAGCAAAGAATTGATTTTTTTTTAAATCAGGTAAATTAGCATCAGGTATCTAAGACATTTTTTAAATTAACCGTTATTTTTCTTAGCAAACCGAGCACAGGTAAGGCAATGAGTGAAACTAACTGTGTACAGGTAACGCTCTAAAAGTAAACATTGATGCGCCTAGGTATATATTATTATTGTATGTATGTATATAATAGGTATTTGAAACTTTGTTACCTGAATGTGCTACTCCAATATTTATAAGTGAACGAAAGTGAAATTTCATTGATATGCCGAACATGGCGATGTGAAAAAGTTGAAAATTTCATAGAAAACCCTTAGAAATACATACACACCTACATATATATAAATACTATAGTTAATATTTGAGACACTACACATATTATTTGCTATATAATAGTAACCATATATAAATAACTCAGTTGAAATGCTTTTTACATATTTTTAATAAAAGCTTTGCGATTTTTTTCAAATATGCACTAAATTGTAAATAAACTTTGTTTACTATGCTCTTTTTTTCTTGATTGAGTGGCCAACGTACGTCAAACATACACCTAAGTACCTATATGTGCTTTAACAAAACCAGTCATTTATTAGTCATCTCAGCTGATTCGACCGTTTCTTTGGAATGCATTACATATCAATACATACCTATACAAAAACTTATGTGAGTGCGTATACATACAGTCATAAATGTAAGACTGGTTTTCGGTAAACAAAATGTCAAGACACGCGGTCGAGTTGCGAAATTGCTAAATGTCAAACAATTAATATCTATTATTCAATGAGTTGTGAACTTTTTTAGTAAAAGAGCATAACTCAATTTAAGTCTAATTACACTAAGCAGTTAAAGGTAATAATAATAATAATTTTTTAATGGAAACTAATAAATTTTTAATATTTTTATGAAATAATGCCTAAATTATTGAAAACTTATGCTTATTTAATTCACAAAAAAAATTTTTAAATTAAACAAAAGTTGTTTTTTAATATACTAAAAATAATCACTTGTATCTTATTTTTTATATTTATAAAATTTTTAATTCTGAAATTTTTAATTTCATCATGCACCACACTTACTTCAGTCGCCAACGGCATTTTTCTATAAATCCAATATTTGACGACATATTAGTAAAACACAAGTGTCTTCTACTCCAGCTTTTTTTAAATTTTTATACCACCCAGCACTGCTTACAATATAAATATATCTATATTTTTTCAGTAGATCACTAAAACAATATCTCGTAATTATCGTAAACCAATTATTTAGTTTTTCGATATATTTTAGCTTTAGCAGCGAAACTTCGACGCACAACCGACAACCGACAACCGGATGGCACAACGCAAACAACAATACTGAAAAAAGTTTGGAGCGTAAAAATCAAAAGCGTAAACATTTGCAGCTTCAGCTGAGCACCAGCCGCCGGCGTGTGTAAAATGTATGCATTTAGATAAAGACATGGAGATATAGCGCACAGGAAAAAGCAGACAAAAATATATATTACTCATATCAGTAAAGTGGCTGATAGCAAGTACGTAAAGAAAAAGAAAATAATAACACAGCAACTTTATAATAAAAAAACAAAATAAAGTCGAAAAATCAACGATACTTGGCGCGCACTTGAAGCAAACTACGATCATTGAACGAAGTTGGTGAGCGGTGAGCGAGAGCGTCATTAAAAAACGCTAGCCGATATTGCTCTTTAAGTTGTCACTGTCGACGTTTGTGTTGTTGTAGATGCTTTGTTTTCAAAATTTCATTCAACATACACGTCCGGCATAAACAGGCTACTTAGTTGCTGGTGATGCACGCCTGCCTGCCGCCTGCCGCCTGCAATATCAATTGATACGGGTATGAAGGAAAAAGCAGCACAACAAACAGATGTTTTGACGTTTTGCGCATGCATACATACGTAGTATACATATATATTGTAATATAAATGTATCAAATATAAATTTGCACATCGCCCAGTGAGCAGTAAGTCAAAGTAAGTTATATACGCATTTAAGCCTACTCGTAAATATTTAACCTCTATTTTCAAACATTATGCACCAACGAAATAATAAGCTTTTTCGGAAGGTTTCAGTAATGTTTACGACGAAGCGATCACTATATGAATTATCCCCAAAATTGTTTAGTCGGTCATGACGGTCTACCGAGTGCTGACTACGTGCTTACTGCCACCAGCTATGGTAACCTAAAATATTTAAATAACAAAATTTTGGATCTTATCTATATACTACTGTGATTAAAAAGTAAGATGAGTTTGTTTATAAAATGTAAATTCGCATTTTTGCCAACGCAACGTCTTTAGACCTGGAGACAATCGGAATATTTTTTTTCCAACTTAACCTTCAAGACTTTCGTCTATTCAGTTTTTATCTCCTCAATCGGGTCAAAACGACGAACGATTCATAGTGCATCAAACCAAGATAATCACCCTACTTTACTTTTTGAGCGCAATATTTTAACCGACTCAGTAAACTAACTTATTTCGCAATTTCCTCCAAATTATGTGAAAGTTTCCAAAACTTGGCTTTGCGTTAGTTTAGAACTTAATTTATTTACTAATTTCCTTTGCTTACTTGGTTTCAAAGACGCTAGTAGCTTGTGCCTGCAAATACACTTATATTATGGTGGTTATTAAATGTTTCAAAGCAAAATCTCGTGTATTGAAATTTTTTTTCTATTAAGTTTACTGATAGGCTAATGTAAATAGTATATATTTTGCATAATAAAATTATGTACTTTCGAGTCTTCAATATTCTTACAAGTATAAAATTTTGAGTCATTTGCGCGATTCCTCCATCTCTATATACGATGTCTTAAACTCTTAGAAAAGTAATTTTTAAATTTACTTCATAAATTTAAGCACCACCCTAATGTTCAAGCTTCATATTTCAGAGCATACAATGAACACAGAGTCAGTAAGTAATGTAGGCATTGACATTGGCATTGACTGAAATGAAATATGCCGATAAAAACGACAACATTTGCTATTCAATAAAAGGAATAGATGAAACAACAAAACGATCGTTGAAGCCCATTAACAGTTTTCTACCTAATTATATGCTTGCAAGTGCATTTCATATATAAACAATTTTGCATTTCATTTCAATTCGGAATCTTGTAATTACCGCCAAGCAAAACTTTTGTGTTCAAATTGTACTTTTTCTTCTTTTATGATTCAAGAATTGGTGAATCAGCCTCTTATGAACTCTGTCATTTTTTAGAGTTATAGTATGCGTATATATATATATAAAAATTTATACTTTCTCATTATTTAGGGGGCAGATGACATCCTCTTAGTCATGCGTAAATTATTCTAATATCGAGAGATCTAGCATATTTTATATTATAATAGCTAAGCATTTAAGTGTCACAAATTAGTATATGGTAAGTAGAAATATAAAAAAAATGTAAGTTCGCCGTTTATTTTAAATAAATTGTGGCAATTAGTTTTACAAATGCACAAATTTATTTTATTTATTAAATTATAAGAAAGTTGTTGAATTAAAGTTTTGGTTTCGTATTTAACATACCAACTTTGGAATATCCTAGTAACGTCTAAAGGCATCAAATAGTGATTCAAATGAGTGACTTAGAAAATTGTAAAAAAACTACTCATTTTGTTAAATAAAATAATCTTTATTAAAACTACAAAAAACGTTATCTTCGGGTGCACCAAAGCTATAATACGTAAGTACGTTGCAATCTGACAACTCACAACTTTATCGTAAAGTTTGACATTTTTAATGTTACACATACTCAGAATGTTTTGACGTACGAGCGCTATTTATGTTGTAAACAGTAACTTAAAATATTCATCTCATCAAAAAAAGTTTAAAACTTTCGACGTGGATTACCTTAGCAACTGTGCATCGTTGTACTTAATTAAATTTTTTGCAATGAAGTTTCATCAAGGACCAGCTCTTATCGATAGTATGTTGAATTTAATCGAGGTCGTAGATCACACTAAGACGAATTTCGTGAAGGTCATCGAAAATCACTTTTTGTTCCAAAAACTATTGATGCTGTACGCAAACTGATGTTGCAAGATCTTTATGTGACTTATCGTGAGATTGAGACAACTAAAGGCAATAGTGGGATCAGCATACATTCAATATTGCATTAACATTTGACTATATAATAAATTTGTTCACGTTGGATCCCACACAATTTACCAATTTCTCAAAAACTGATCGTGTAGATTGGTCGAGAAATGTCAAAAAAAAAAATACAATAACGGCATTTCGAAACACGTATATGAAAATCTGACAGTGTCTTTAACATGTATTAAACTATACAAAAGTTGTTCGTGCACGAAGCACTTCCAAGCAAATTAGCGACAATTACAGTAAAATGTGGTCGAAAATTGAGCCTCTCGACTGGAATTTATTTTAGACATGCGGTTGCAGTTATTTGTCCAAAATCATTTTTAAAACATAATGCCAACATCTTATATTAATAAAAATAATAAATTCTTGGCCTCAACATTAGTGTATATGCTTTTTTTTTCTTTTTGAAAACCAGTTGCCTAAAAAAACACCCTATACTTATTTGGCATATAGAGGTGAGTCGTTTAACTGCATTAAAATCTATGAAGGTATTACAAGAATAATGCGAAAAATCTTACCTTCGTTGTCAGGCTAAGATTAAGCTTATTATCCGCAACAATAAACAGTTTCAATAATATCACTTATAAATGATTGAGCACAAATGGAGCTCTTTGTTTTCAGTACTCCTCACCTTGAAAGCAACATTTGTTACCACTTTTAACAAAATTATTTTCTAAATACATTTTTCGTCACGGTGAAAAAACGTTAGTTAAATACTTAAATATGTCAATATTCACAACCGCTACTACTTCGTCTAAGTAATTATGCCAGTCCCGTTTCCATACTCCTATTCGGTATCAGATGCAGACCCATAAAGCAATCGCTTTTCATACAAAGAATCCCAAGCTTTCATTTTCGGCGTTTCGGGTAATTGCATAACCTGCATTGTCTGGCCAATATTTAGACCAAAATCTGGATTTGTTTTTTCTATTGGTAGCCAAATATTTGGTGCGATCTCGGGGCAATTCGGATTTCCCAATTTAGCAAAACTGGTCCATATGCTGACCATGCGTTGTATGGTAGCATATTCAGGTGTATCCTTCTCTAATTTTTTGGATTCGTTCAAATAGAATAGGTACGAGAGATCATCGCCATGTGCAGCGCCCTTTACACATGCATCGCCACAGAAACGTATGCGATTATGATTAAATGTTGGTGAATCGAAATCGAATCGATAGAGATAAGTATTGGCAGTGGCATATTTTGTGCGTGCAAGCGCTGTGCGGTGCAAACCATGCCAGAACATTTTATGTGAACAGAGCTATATATGAAAGCAAAATGTGAAAGTTAAATTTTTTATAATTTTAATTTTCTAGCTAATTACTCACATGTAAAAAATCAAAGGTGGGATCAGGCTTATCCTGTTTAGTAACTACTTCGTCTTTCTCCTTACCAAAGTAAAGATTCAGTATGCGTGTGCTCAATTCCTGTATACGACTGCTCTTGTAGATATCTTTGAACTCTGCTAATACCAATAATTCTGGCCGTTTTTTTAAGAGTTCTAAAATTTGTGGAAACTTTTTCACATGCTGATACATTATTAAACCCTCAAACGATGTGCCGCCCATGAGAATTGGTATGCCATTTCCCCAAGCCGTTTTCAACATATTAATTGGATCGGTTGGCAATATGCAATGCTCCGACTCATAGGGTTCAACTATCGGTGTAAATGTTAGCCAGTGAAATGAACGAGTTTCCTCTTCATTAAGCAGCGAATGCTGAACCAATTTTTCTGCATCCAAATTTTGCAAAAACTCCAGTACTGGCTTATCTTTGGGCTCGCCTTTATAACCATGATATACAGCTAGACGATAGCCCATATTTTGCGGCATGTTAGCCCAGTAGCTCAGCGCTGAACCGGACATCATCACCGCCTGTTGAAAGAGACCGCGCGCTTGATCACTCAATGACAAAATGTGCGCACATGTGGCGCCGGCGCTCTCACCAAACACGGTAATATTATTACAATTGCCATTAAAATAGTAAATGGTTTTCTTAATCCACTTGAGTGCGAGCAGTTGATCCTTGAGGGCAGCGTTGCCAGGTACATCGAGACTATGATCATTTAAACTAAGGAAACCTTGAAGTAATAAAAAAGAAATGTTGGAAAATAATTTTACTCTAGTCCATTGAGACATTTCATTAATATTGCGCAATGTTCTAGCTCCCGAAGCATTTAAAAGTGCCATAAAGGCTATTTAACGTATATTGTCTTAGCATGTTGACAGCATCAAAGTTAAAGCGGCACACTAACACCTCAAAATAAGTCGGTACTTGCCGATGTGTTAAAAATAATATTTTTATCCACATGTGAAAAATCCAGCTCGAAGCTTATCCAAGCACTGTTATTATAACGTGTGGATTGTGGAATTTGCAGAAATTAAACTATTCCTGGATACCGATCAGACTGGGAAATAGTTAACTGACAATACTGGCGATTTGAAGCGCAGCAGATAGATCCAAAGTAAGCAGATATTAAAAGATAAAATATATTGGCGACATTAGTTCAGTCTTATCTGAAATACAAAATATAGAGTTCTTACAGGACATCGAAACATGAGGTTTTTCACTTTAGATCATTATCTTTACGGGTGCCTGAAGTTCACCCGTTAAAGCAAAATACTTTAAAAAGGTTCATGTTCTGTTTGCATAAAGCCTTCTTGAAAACAGATAGCCTAAGCTATTTGCTGAACGATATCTATTTGAATCTTTCTCGTAGTTTAATGTAGATAATTTCCAGAAGAGGTTTTAGATCTTTAAATTAGGTCCATAAATTACTCTTTGATCATTCCGAAACTTTTTAGATGTGGTTTTATTACATAGTCCAAAAAACTGAGTCTGGGAGAAACTAAACTAATAACTGACCGTTATTACAACTAAACTTTTTCGTAAAGCTTCTAAGAGATTAATAACAACAAAAATGATAACTTGTCAGGTTAATCATATATATGTTTAATAAATTGAACTTACCAAGCGAACAAAGGCGATAATTTAAAGAGACAAATACAACGTCTTCACGCATGAGATAATCGGGTCCGTGATGCTCGCGTGCTGCACGACCGGTCTGAAAGCCGCCACCATGTAACCAAACCATGACCGGCATTTGCTTAGTAGCATCTATCTAAAGTTTTAAAAATAAATAAATAAATGTATCAACTTCGTTTCCGCCATTATCGTCAATACTCACATGCTTGGTGTAGACATTCAGATAAAGACAATCTTCGCTGCCTTCTACCTTGCCGGTTTTCCGACTAATTTGTATTGGTTTGGGCGGACTTTGGGTGGCATCCAATATATCCGGCCAATTTCCAAATGGTTGTGGTGCGCGAAAACGTAATTCGCCAACTGGCGGTTTGGCATACGGTATGCCCTCGAAGCTGTAGTAGGTGTCGCCATAGACTGTCTGGCGCTTTGCGCCGCGTATGCGACCTTGCGGTAATTGCAGTTCCACTGTTTCCAAAATGCCTGAGCTATGCGGAGCGGTAAAGGCAATCAAAAAAATTTGCTTTTTTGTTTGTACACAATTTTGTATATACAATATTTTTTGTTAAATCTTACTCAGTTGCCATTTTTCGTAGGTATGTTCCAAGAATTTTAACCGGAATTTTTTGGGTTCTCGTCAGAAATCTAGATAACATATTACAATTTATTAGCATTCTTTTTTAATTTTTTTCTATTGTTTCGTGTAAATTATTTTGAATTATTTTTCAGAATAAAAAAAATTAAAAATCTTAGTATGCAATTACATGTCAAGTGTATGTCGAACGGGAATATAGTGTCCTTATAGCAACTGCAGTGTATTTTAATACTAGACGCTCAAGCGTCTGCATAGCACAAGAAGACCAACTAAAACTGTAAAAGTAACTAGAAATGACTAAGATTGAAGGTTATCGCAAAACACACTTCCAAAGTGCACGAGCAACAACAAGTAATTTCTATATACATATGCACGCATACGAGTATATACTCAAAAGTTGGTTGAAAGCTCGTATTGAGTGTTCACTGATAAAATGTGCTCCCAAAAGCTCTGCCCGCTATTTGTGGAAATCACAAATAAATCAATAACTTACTTAGAAGGTGGCAAACAGCGTATGCTTGTTTTCCCTAATGCAATATATCAGCTCTATATGTACGTTACAGTGGTGGCAATTAAATTAGTATACCCCAACAAAAAAAAAAAAATTTTACAGGCCAAAGCTTCAATAATTTCTTAAAATGAACAAGAAATGAGAAGAAAACATCGGAGAACTTATAAAATTTAAGTTGTGTATAAACGATATGCATGATGAGCTGAGTTGATTTAGCCATGTCCATATATCTGTATATAAGCAAATTAGGTTTTTTAGGTATCGATCTGAAATTTTGCACACGTCATTTCATTTCTAATATGCCGTAACCACCGATATCTGACCACTTTTACATATATGTAGCTGCCATGCAAACTGAAAGAGCGGAATAAAGTGCTTGTATGGAAAGCTTTTTCGTTTGACCAAATATCTTCACGAAATTTGGCATGGATTATTGCATAACGCAATGGTGTATTCTCCGAAGAAATTGTCTTGATCGAATCACTATAGCATCTATATGCCATAAAAATTGACCGTTCATAGTTCTTGTAAGGAAGCTTTGGTATTTGTGAAGGGTATTATAGCTTGGCTGCAATCGAAGTTAGCCTTAATATTTTTTTCTATATAATTTTCAAGTTTTATAAAATATTCTTAACGTACTAGTTTATATAAATACTATAAATTTACTGTAGTAGTTTTGAAAAACATATAAATATGATTTTTAACTCAACAAACTAACCTACAAACTCTTACCATAACATATTCATCAAGATATATCGTTTTCAAGTGGCAACATAATAACTGCATATTTTAAAATGTGTCGATGTCTTCCACATGGAATATTCGCTATTAATCTAACCTAAACGCAGAAAATTTTGGCTTTGAAGCCCTTTCTTGTTTGAAAAAAAGGATTTGTCGGCTCTTTGCTCTGCTATGGAAAAGTCTTAGAGAATATTGAATTAATTACAGTAATAATTATGTACAAGTATGTAGCACTACAGGCTAACTTTAAACGTCTTTTCTAATATATAACATTCTTCTCTGTTTATAACATATGTAAGATTTTATTCCATAGCTAAAATTGTATACACAATTTTAAAATACTATTTACCATACAAAACAATATGAATTTATGTAACTTTTGTGACTTACAAAATCTGGACTTTTAAAGTTTTGAAAGCTTTGAGACACATAAATATAAAAAATACACAACTGAGCCTGTAAATCTATACCTTTGATTTAAAATATTATATCCCTGATTTTTTTCACTGTGTATAGATGCGACAAGTTTCAACTGAGCGCATTGTGTATTCGCATTGTTAGCTTGGGCCGAATACACATACTGAATACATTGAGTATTCGTTGTCAGTGTAAGTAGTTTAAAGTTTAATTTTCAATGTGTAGCACAAAAGAGAGCAGCTCAAAATATTTTCTCACATACTTTAAGATGTATTAAATTTTTAGTTAATAGTTATAGTGATAGCAAAGAGGGTCATACATACAATATACATTTATATACGAACTGTGTATTTAATATAATTGCTCCCTATCTGTAAAAAGCTCATCTAGCGCCTGTAGTTTAACGGTCTCCGGTAGCTCCATCATTTTCAAATCGTAGCCAATATTTAAAGCCATATTCGGTTCAGCGTCTTCTAATGGTGTCCAGATAACCGGTTTAATTTCATCACAATTGGGATCCGAGTTAGTGGCAAAAGTAGTTAGTATAGAAATTAGTCTTCGAATAGTCTGATATTCTGCCGAATCCAAGCTGACTTTCCAAGAGTCATTTGAAAAAAACGTATACGATAAATCATCAGCATGGGACACACCACGTACCAGAGCATTGCCACAATATTTAGCGCGATATAAATTAAAATCGGGCGAGTCAAAATCGAAACGATAAAGATAGGTGCGTTGTCTGGCATATGCTAAACGTGCCAAAACAGTGCGATGGATATCGTGTAAAAATAATTTGTAGCCATAAATCTGAAATATTGTTGACAAATAAAAAAATATCAGAAATGCTGAGAATTTAAGAAATAACAAAGTTGTTTTACACTTACATCCAAAAATTTGAATACTGAACGATCACTAGGCGTTTTGGCGCCAAAAAACAATTTTAATAACTTTTCACCCACTGCTTGACGCTCTACCGGTGTGTGCACAACCTTAGCATCCTCTGGCAAAATACGCTCTGGATCATTAATAAGCGTGCGCATTATTTGCGGAAACATTTTAAAACGTTGATACATATAGAGACCCTCAAAAGAATTTGCACCAATAATCATCGGTATACGATTACTCCAAGTATTTTTCAGCAGCTCAAATGGCCTTTGCGACAGAACACAATTCTCACTAACATACGGTTCAACAATTGGTCCAAAAGCAAACATATATAATTTTCTACGTTCCTCTTCGTTGAGCAAAGAATGTTGCACCAATTTGGCGGGTTCTAATTGTTGCAGAAAACTTAGAACTTCTGCATCTATATTATCACCATTATAGCCGTGAAATTTCGCTAATCTATACGCCATATCAGTCTGTGGCATATTTACCCAATAGCATAGCGCACTACCCGACATAAGTATGACGCGTTGAAAGAGATTTTCCGACTGTGCGCTAAGCGTAATAGCATGAGCGCTAGCAGCGCCGGCGCTTTCACCGAAAAGCGTTATATTATCGGGATCACCATTGAAGTGACTAATATACTGTTTCACCCATTTAAGCGCGAGTATTTGATCTTTCAGCGCCGCATTACCCGGTACTTGTAACGCTGGATCAGTGAGACTGAGGAAACCTTTGTTCAAGTGTTACATTATCCTTAGTTTGCTTATTTATTTGAAGGTATGTGTGTGCGCCAACTCACCCAATGAACAGAGGCGATAATTGAACGTAACGAGTATTACTTGCTCACTCATAAAATAGTCGGGGCTGTAAACGTTCCTTGTGGCTTCCCCTGTATAGAATGCGCCACCGTAAATAAATACCATTACCGGCAAAGGTTGCTCTGATTGCAGCTACAAATTGCAGTATGCATTAGAAATTAAATTATGCGCATTTTTATTGCACTATTTAAACTTTTGCATATGCACTAATTGGCGAACCCACCTTTTTTGTATAAACATTTAAATATAGGCAATCCTCCGAGCCCTCCACACCGCCAGTGCGCGAATTCTTTTGTAACGGTTTGTTAGCGCATTGCATACAATCCTTGACACCGCTCCAAGGCTCGATCGGTTGAGGCGCCTTGAAGCGTAATTCCCCTAAAGGCGGTTTCGCATATGGTATGCCCTCAAAGCTGTAATAATCGTGCGCATATACAGTCTGGCAGTGTTGGCCTTTGATCACACCCAATGGCAGTGCGATTTCCAGCATTTCGCTAATAAAATTTTTTTTAATGAAATTATCTTTTTAAATTTTATTTAATGACAATTACTTAGATATGTGCATACAAATATTATTATTAAGCAGCCGCATGCGTTTGTATACTTACGTCAAACTCATCAGCGCTTTTGCTTTTATTCTGCGGCTATGTAAACAATTATATTTATTCGTCGTTCCAACACAGCAAAACCGACTGCTTTCGTCGCTTGCTCAAGAACAACTGAAAATATATTTCGATATTAAGTCTGTTGTGCGATTAGATTGCGTAGGTTGTCGTATAATTTTATATAAATAGGAAATAGCTTTTTGTTACTGGTAGGTGACGAATATCGTCAATTTATGATTCAATTGATTCCCCAATAGGATTTAACCCTAAAATAATTATTAAAAATTAAAAACATATAGAGTAATCTTCTGATTCTATGTATTCACAAGCACTTTTCTCACCTTATTCAACACACAGAATCGGAAGTAGTCCCAAAGCGAAATGTGGATGCTAGACGAAGGGATATCTCTTGGTAGGAGAAATTGTTAATTTCTGATATCAGAAGAGCGACTGTATTGGATGACAGAAGTACTTATCGAATTTTGCATCGCATTTTTTTAACAAAGCAAGCTTTGCCTCACCAAAATTTCTCCAAATATTGGTTTTAAAAAAGGTAGCCATAGTTGTTAATTTATTCGATTTATTCTCGCAATAAAAATCCAACGGAGTCAATTAATATTCAACGGTTGGTCAATTAGCAGTCGTGATAATTTGTATGATTCGTTCTTAGACATTAGACGTTCTTTCAGTTTTGCATTCTTCTATTGTAACCATTTGGTACTTAGATCTTAGTATAAAATGTGTGGAACCAAATAATATCGTAATTTATGGAGACGTTGACCACAGATTTATGTAGTTTGAGCAAAAGTATTAATCAATAATGTCTTCCTACTCCAAAAAAAGTTACTGTGTAGCCTTGTTAGGGACACAATGGTCTTCTATATTCTCTTCAATGTCACAAATAAAGCATGTTTTGTAAGGAAATATTCCATACTTTTGCATGATAGCATTTATCAGCATTTTTTTACAAAAAGCTAAGTTTAAGCTGAAGAGGTATTTGTATAAAAGAGGCACGGAAGCTTCGATTCAAAATAGCAGCAGCAATGTCAGACTTGTTTTCATAATAAGTATACCAAGTTTTAATATTATGCCTTTGCATTTCTTATGAAATCTACTCAATATTATTTGCTATTTGTTTTTTCTCTCTGTATACCTACAATAAACATGTCCTAATGACACATATTTATTCCTTACGTACCAGCTTTCACAGTAAAAATCAACCAAGCTCAGGGTTGGTCCTTGGAGTTATGCTGCTGTTTACTTTTTTACAAAAATTATTAAAAAGAAAGGTACAACAAAATGTCATTTATATATTTCTATCGTTGATTTTACTAGGCTATTGTATTTATACCGCTTGCTTGTTCGATTTGTCATTCGCTATGCTGGGTAAATGTTTACAGCTCAAGATCAATTATGTCATAATACTGTTATGTTATTTGATGGATTTCGAGAATAAAATTACGACCAATTTAATTGAAGCATACATAATGCATAAAATAATCTATAAAACGTTCAAGAGCTCAATACCGAGATCCGGTTCTTAAGTAGATCAGTCTCGGGAATTTATTTCAAGTAGAAAAGTATTATTTGATTAAAAAGCACTTGGCTTTTAAATTTATTATAAGCTGTTTGCACAAAATTCCACTTATAGTCGAATTGGTGAATTTTATGCTTTATTCTTAAGACTGTCAAGACTGTTAGACAGATTTGGCGAATTTCATTTGTATACAAATAATAACCCGCAGGTTAATATATATTTGCATAAAGGGTACAGAAGCATATATATATCTACATTTTATAAGTAGTGTTTTAAAATAGCATGGCATATATATTTTAAGTTGTATTTTAAAAAGTAATTTGAATTTCGAATTGGAATTGTTCCCTTTTCATTACTTTTCGATTAAGAAATTGACATACAATTATTTTATGCAGGTTCGCATTTAATTTACTCAATGAAATTATTATCTTATCGGTCAGTGTTTCAAAATACAGTATTTGCCTTCCGTGGCTACACAGCACTTTCATATCATACTCAGAAATTTAAATACATAAATTAACGTCACACATATATTTACAAATATATAAAAACCTTTTCACACTATTGAAATGAAAAAGTATTTACAAATGTTTGGTAAATACCAACAGTGAATACGAATGTATAGCTTTGCGGCCTTGAGCGGAATTTTGCAAATCACTTTTATATTTAATTGTTATAATAACGATGTGTGATAAAAAACTACGCGCATTAGTCCGATAATGAAACAAGAATAAACAGCAGTATACTAGACGAGTAATTCGGGTATATTAAGAGATATTTCTTACCTCCATTACATATGTATATGGATGCTATAAATAGCAGTTATCGAAAGACAGCAGAATTGATAAAGACGTTTGTTTAAAAACTAGTCGCTCCGTATTATGATTTACATCAATTGAATGCCGTAACAATACCCCGAAAAAGTGTCGCAATCGGAAGTATCCATAGAAATCGATGTCTACGCATGTTGCATATTATTATTAATTAGACAGTGCGTGTCATTTTACGGTACAAACTATTCAGTTTTTGTAATAAAAACTCCATCGACTTCTGAAGTGACTTAGGTAAACAAAATCGAACTAAAAATTGGCGCCTAACCCAGCTATAAATACATATAGTCAAGATCTTGAGATTCTCTCTCCTGATTCTTTTTGATGTACTTATTTGAAGAGCGTTTATTTTGATATTTGTTTCAAGGCAACAATTTCGAAGAGCTAATTCTGCAGTGGCAAATAAATGCGGTCACATGATTGATTATGTATTAAAAAATAGTTAAAGAAATACTCCTATATGAGAATTTCTCCGTTGGTGATTCTCCAAGAACTAATGCTACCATAGTTTTTAACTGCGGCGCATAACTGTTGTTGTATTTAAATAAAATCAGTGAAATATTACAAATTATTTCAATATTTTTTTCGAAGTTTTAACTGATGCTCGTAATTTAACTGTAAAAACAATTGTTAACGTTTAAAAGTGTTCTGTTTCTTGAAGAACTGACAACTACGGCTGTATAAATTACTTAAGGTTCAAATCTCAGCTGTAAAGTGATATATTGCCACTGAGAAGACAACTGATCACACGATTACCAAACTTAGCCCACATACTTATGTTGTGACATTGGAGTGTCAACTCTCTTCTTTTTGCTGAACCCAATGGCTTCGATAAATATGGTTACATAAATGCCTGAGGCGCTTATATTTGGAACCTTCAGTAGAATATTGACGTAATGGAAACGAAAGTTTAGCTTCTGTAATTCTGATGCAGCAGATAATTATTTGGCTAGGAAAACTGATTCAGTAGATTTGAACTAGGATTCTGTATATTAAAGATCAAGGGGAGAAGGAATGTGTTATGAATAACCCAAATACTAAAAAAGTCATTATGAGAGAGACTTCAGGTTTAACCTAAATTGTCTAAGCAAAAATTGACCATTGCTTCCATGAAACGAAATATAAAGTATTCGTATCGATATATATGTAATTTATTATAGGCTAATTTAAGTTAATATTTTTTAAATAATATTTCACTGAGAATAAAATATATTTTAATATTCTAAGAACGTCCGTAAGATCCTTAAAAATTAAGACTCTTTACTAGCTTTTACGAGCTGGCAACCTGTCCTGCAGATTATGTATATATGTATCCACTGTTGACTTCATCGCATTTTTATAAGAGTGTTGGTAATGGATCGCCCCAATTATAATCCTCTACCTTGTGGGCGCCACACAATTGCTCCGGACTCTTATATAACTTCGCCCATGCTTCCAATTTGTCTACTTCTGGAATTGTCGTAAATTCCAAATGTTGACCAATATTAACCCCTCGTAGATTATAATATTTCGTTACGGCGTCCCAAATAATCGGATCCGTTGTTGGCGAATCGGGATCACCATTAGTAGCATATGTCGTCCACATACTTATCATACGCTTTATGGTTTTATATTCGGCCGAGTTTGGATACAACTTTTTTGAGTCACGTGAATGGAATAAATAGCACAAGTCATCACCATGGCATGCACCACGAGCCTTTTCATCTGAATATCGCCTGCGATTAACATTGAAATCTGGTGAGTCGAAGCCAAAACGATACAGAAAAGTGGGGGCCAGTGCAAAACTTAAGCGTGCTAAAATAGTACGATGCAAGTCGTGCCAAATGATTTTATAGCTATATAACTGAAATTTAAAAAATAGTAAATGTATTGCCGAGTGGTATAAAATCAGTCTGCACTTACATCTAAATAGTGAAAAAGCGAGTGATCATTCGGTTCCTTCTCGCCGAAATGCAATTTTAATAGTTGTTCTCCCATGCGTTTATTTTCTTTTGTAGTATTTGAATTGAGAACATCTTCTGGTAGTATTAATGCTGGTTCGTTGTATAAAAGTTTCATAATATCAGGATTTTTCTTGAGTGTATTGTACATAAACAGACCTTCAAATGAGGTGCCACCGATCATCATTGATATTTTATTGCTCCATGCATTCTTAAGCATATTAAATGGACGCTCCGGTATAACGCAACCCTCTTCTATATAAGGTTCAACAATTGGACCGAATGGAAACAAATACGATTTACGCTGTTCGTCCTTGTTTAATAAAGAGTGCACAACCAATTTTGTAGGGTCTAGCTTATTTAGAAATTGTAAAACGCTTGCATCGAGATTGTCACCGTTATAGCCATGAAATTTTGCCAAACGGTAAGCCATATTTGTTTGCGGCATATTAACCCAATAATTTAGCGCACAACCAGACATGGCAATGGCACGTTTGAAGAGATCACGTCCTTGCTCAGACAGCATCAGTAAATGGGTTGAGGCAGCCCCGGCGCTTGAACCAAAAACTGTAACGTTCTTAGGATCACCATTGAAGTGCGATATGTACTGCTTAATCCACTTAAGTGCGAGTACTTGGTCCTTGAGACCAGCATTACCGGGTATACTCAGTGTAGGATCGGCGAAACTGAGAAAGCCTTTTAAAACAGGGAGAGTCAAAGAATGAGTAGACAAGGAAATAAATGATTGCACAAATAGTATAAGTACACACCTAAAGAGCATAGTCGATAATTAAAGGTAACAAGCACTACATCTTCATTCATAAAGTAATCGGGACCCAATGTTTCTCTTCTGGCGCCACCTGAACGAAAAGACCCACCGGCTATAAATACAAGAACAGGTAGTGGTTTTTCCGAATTAAGCTATAAGAAAAATTAAAAATTATTTGATTTAAGCTGAAGCATTAATTAGCTTACTCGTTTTGTATAGACATTTAGGTAAAGACAATCTTCAGATCCTTCTATGCTCTCATTGACTGGGTTTAACTGTAAAGGCTTACTGGCGCATTTAGTACAATCCTTAACGCCCTTCCATGGTTCCACCTGTACTGGCGCACGGAAACGTAACTCACGTAATGGTGGTTGAGCAAATGGTATACCTTCGAAACTCAAAAATTTCTGATCGTAGACAGTTTTGTCTTCCCGCCCCTTAATAGCGCCCAATGGTAAGGTGATAGAGCATTCTCCATCCTTATGTGAACTGCAAATAAGTTCCAGCTGTGTTAAAATATTTTCCATAGTTGACATTTCTTCCAATTGCTTTTGTTCACTTACATTTGACTCATTTTGTTTTTCGCTTATATTCGTTCTATGTTTTTTTGCTTATCACCAAATTTGTCTCGTTTTACTCTCTGGCATGGGAGTTCCGTCGGAGCACAACTAAATTTTATTTCTCAGTAAATTCTTTCATATAACTCAAAATTTTTTAATCATTATACATTTTGTTATAGGAAAGCAAAAATAATAAGTTTGTATTTGCATTTTCGCAAATTGTACTAAATAGTCTCTGTCAAAAAAAAAATGTATCCAAACAAAACCAAAAAAATTTCTCTGTTGTAATGAAAACTGTCATCCAAAGAACTGAATGACTTAAAAAATACTAGCTGCTTTGCAAGAAATGAGAAAAGAACACAGTGAAGAATCAAATCATCATTCATGTATGCGCACATCCATACACCTTAATAGACATAAATATTGCTCAGCGAGTGTGTAGAAAATCGCTATCTAAGCTTTCCATTGATCGCGAGCACATTGACCCTCAGCTATTTGTGCACTACTATACATGTCACTGAGAGCATAGATATTTGCCGACACTCCACAAAGCGTTATGTGCTCGCGAAGAGTGGAAACACTCGCTCTTTATGCAATGTACTCAGCAATCCAAGGTGGGCGTATGAAGCAAGTGTAAAATGGCTCTCTGCTCTCCTAGTTATAAAATGGTATCACTATAAGAAAATAATACTAATTTCCGCCAATACCGAGATTTCTCGAATATTTTGGTATTATATGATTATGAGCGAATTAAACAACCGTCATATAAAGCAAATAGTTCATTAGTAGATAAATTAATTGGTAAACTGATGAATTTAGCACTTAGAAAAGAATACGCGCTGGATTTTAGGACTGCAGATACATGCAGGATTAACGGCTTACCCATATTCCGGCTCAGCTTATATAATTGCATCAGAATATCTTTGGAGTAACTGTATGTGCACACTACCAAATAAAGATATGCATTCCCTTGAATAAGAAAAAAAATGTTCGAAGCTTTCATTATATTATAAGCAAACAACATTATTTCGAATTTTAGTGTAATTCTTCAAAGGTTTATTTTTGTATTAAAAGCTACTATATTTTAGTTTATATTATTTGATCACATTTCTTATTAGAAGAGTCAATACCTTTGCATTTAACTCACTCAAAGTAGAACCTGTCTTTAAACCAACATATACATTCAAAACAATTTTACACCTGCTTCTTTGTAGTATTCATCATGCAGTTTACATATTTCCGACTCGGGCCAATCCACAAAACTTATTTCATTAGAGATATTCAAACATTTGTGTTCGCCGAGTGCAGACAGCGGTTCCCAAACTGTTGGCTTTATGCTATCTACGTTAGGGTCGGAAGTGGTTGCGAATGTAGTAAATAAATCCAACATATATTCGATGGTACGGAACTCTGCAGAATCACGTGCTAACTTAAACGACTCCGGCATGTAAAATATATAGGAAAGATCATCGACATGTGCTACGCCTCGTACATTTCGACCGCACTTTTTAATGCGATACAAATTAAAATCGGGCGAATCAAAATCGAAGCGATAGAGATACGTTGGTGCTGTTGCACGCTGAAGACGGGCACACATATAGCGATGCATGGGATGGTAAAAAGAGCCATACGATGCTAACTGTAAAAAGTTGTGGAATATAAATGCACTTACTAAATAAATGTACTTACTTTTATAATGCGTAGTGCATTCTCTTTCTCCAAAACTTCATTACCTATGTGCAATTTGATTAATTTCTTTGCCAGTGATTTTTGCGTTGGAAACTCGCATTTTAAAGTTATTTCGCTGGAGAGTACATATTCTGGATGCAAATTAAGTGTATTGTAGAGCTCTGGAATCGTTGTGTAGAACTTATAACTCAAGAGCGACTCCAAAGTGGTGCCACCTAAAATTAGCGGCATTTTATGGGACCAAGCCGTTATTTCAGCAAACGCGTCGAATGGATCTTTAGTAATTATTGCATCTGGCGTGTTGGCATTTTCTATTGTAGGACAGAATATATAGGCTATATTCCGATCGAATTCTTCTTTAGTTAGAAAATCTAGGTTGGCTAATTTCTCAGCTTCAAGTGCACGCAAATACTTTAATATACTTTGGTTATCTTCAGAACCTTCATAACCAATGTGTTTAGCGAAACGGAGTTGTATATTTGGTATTTTACGAATGTGTATCATTAGACCGGACATGAGTATGGCTTTGTGAAATAGCCCCTCACATTGCGGTGCCATCATAAGAATATGCGTGGCGCCACTACCCGAGCTATTTCCGAAAAGCGTTATATTATCTGGATCACCATTAAAATTGTGGTAATTTATTTTAAGCCATTTTAATGCTGCTACAATATCTTTGAGTCCGGCATTTCCGGCAACTTGCAACTCTGGTTCGGGCAAACTGAGGAAACCTGTAGAGAGTAAAAAAAAAAAAAACGAGATAGTGTTTATACATAAACTGGTGTATGAATTGGTGGCACGCATTGTCAATAGGTTGATTGCGCATTTTTTGCAGGTAGACATTTGAAAACTAATTCGTTTGTATTCCAAAACATTACTCAACATACCTAGCGCTCCCACACGAAATCCAATTGTTACGAAAATCACATCTCTCATCATGAAATAATCTGGTCCCCAGTTATGACGAGACGCACTGCCAGTGGTGAAACCACCACCATGTATATAAACCATAACGGCCAGTGGTTTTTCCGATTTAAGCTAAAATTTGGCAAAATCTGTGTAAATACGATTGCAAATTATAAACATATACTTTTGCATACCTTTTTTGCATAAATATTCAGATATAGACAATCTTCGGAACCCTCGATACGCTCGGTATAACGATTATATTGTATACATTTCGGTGCAACTTCAGTACAATCACGTACACCCTCCCAATGTTCAGCCGGCTGTGGTGACTTGAAACGTAGTTCTCCCAACGGAGGCTTGGCGTAGGGTATACCATCGAAGCAATAATACTGATCGCCATAAATGGTATTACGCAGTTGTCCGCGTACCTGACCATGTGTGGTGGAAATGATCGGTTGTTTGGTATTTTCCTCAATCCTATCGATTGATTAAATAATACTACATTAGCTTTGAAGCGGTCAAGGTGGCAAACACTTACTGTAGATCCATACCGTGAATTTTAAACTGATCACTACAGATGGCAAATTACGACTAATTTATGCAAGTTGGCAAATATTTTTAAGATAATTGAAATGTCTTACGTTGGCTATCAGCTCTCAAGGCTAATGAGGCCATGATAAGGTACTTATCAGAGCTTTGTTACTTTGATCTAAAATAAACTACATACATATATTAGCTAGGCGTTGCGTTTAAGATTGGGGTAGTACAGTCGATTATTTCACAACAAAATCCGTTATCTGCGCAAAGTCTTTATTCGGGCATTCCGCGTCGGGTTGCTAAAATTATTGAGTCTAGAACAAATTTTGATTGCCAAAAATTAAATTATATAGTCAAAGGAAAAGTATTTTTAAAAATTAAGTATTTAAAAACCATTTAAGATTCTCTCATATACTTAGTTGTAGTGAAATTAGCGTATAGCCTAAACCTCAACTAAAGCCAATGCGCTTGCTGCTTTTGCTTTAACACTATACTCAGTTTACCATATTATAGTCAGTTTACCATATTATAGCGATTATTTTTAAGTAACTAAGTACAAAACAAATCTTTATTTGTTGTATGCTTAAGTCCAGTTAAAACATTTCTGACGTAAATTTGATATACGAGGTGTGTTCAAAGGAAAAGGTGAATGTTGATTTTTCGCGAGCTGTGTACATTCGATTATCGATATTTTGGTTTTCTTTACTATCGGAAACATATGTTTATCATGTGCTTGCATTAGGAGCCAATTTCGATTAGTAGTTGGGTATCGATATTTGACTTTTGAAAGAAATGGATCAAAGAATATATATTAAATTTTGCGTTAAAAATGCAATAAATTGCTCCAAGGAACCTGAAATATTGACTATGGTGTTCGGTAAGTCCACTTTGTCTCAAAAAAGTGTTTATAAGTGGTACAAGCGCTTTACAGAAGGCCGAGAAGATGTTGATGACGATGAGCATCCTTGAGGTGCGACCACGTCAACAAGCGCAGAAAAAATCGAAACATTCTGGAATATCACCGAATCACTATTAGGGAAGTTGCAAAGGTTGTTGGTTTATCAATCGGCCATTGCCATTCAACTTTCTCGAATGTTTTGGGCATGAAAGTTTGAGCAAAAGCAACGTCACATTAGTATTGCTAAGGAGTCATTGAATGACGTCAACAACGATTCTCAACCACCGCATTCACCAGATATTGAATAATATAATTTTCCACTTATTGTTTATAGGTATGTTTTACTAAATGAATATGTTTTACTTATTTTTATACCCTGAACAGGGTTCAGTTTGCAACTAAGTTTGTAACAGCCAGAAGGAAAACCCGGATACCCAAATACGATACTTGTATATATAAATAATCGGCATAATGAGCTGAGTCAGTTTATCAATGTCCGTCTGTCTGTCCGTTTATCTGTCTGCCTATATATATGCGAATTAAACCATCAGTTTTTGAGATATCGGTTTGAAAATTTGCGTACTTTCTTTTTTTCCAAGAAGCTGCTTATTTGTGGGGAATGCCGATATCGCATTATTATAGGATATAGCTGCTATACAAACTGAACAAACAAAAACATGTCCATGTATTGAAAACTTTTTAATTTGAGAAAATATCTTCACAATTTTGGCACGGATTATAGCTTAAGACAACGAAATGATGTCTAAAGGAATTTTTTAAATCCGACTGCTATAGTATATAGCTGAAATACAAACTAAGTATCAAAATCCAGTTCTTGTATGGAAATTGACGAAATATATTCATGAAATTTGAAATGATTTGTAACCTAAAACGACGGTTTTATCTTTAAACAAATTGTTTAGATCGTACTACTATAGCATATATTTGCCATTCAAACTGACCGATCAAAATCAAGATAAAGATCTTTTAATTTTTTATGCTATAAAAATTGCAGCTGTGAAGAGTATTATAGCTTCGGTGCAGTATAAGTTAAATTTTTTTGTCTTTTAAATTAATGTATATATTGCTTATAACAGTTTTTAATATAATCTTATTCTTATTTAAAACGCAATAAACCATAATCACATAGAGTTTTTTAAAATAGTTGCTTATATTTTATTATAAAACAAACTACTAACAGGAGCTACTACTACGCACACTATAAAACTAAATGTCAACTAAAAGGTTCTTATGCCTGCCTCCTCATAATATTGATTCCATAATTCGCACTTCTCCTCCTCTGGCCATTTCACAAAGCTCACTTGATTGCTAATATTAAGACTATAGTGGGCACCTTTTAAAGTCAGTGGTTTCCAAACTACACTGCTTAAATCCTTACAATTAGGATCCGAATTGTGAGCAAACGCTGTAATCCAAGCTGTCATGCACTCAATAATCTTAAACTCCTTTGAGTTGCGCTGTAGCTTAAATGAGTCTGGCATTAAGAAGATATAGGAAAGCTCATCTACATGGGATACGCCACGTACTTCAGGTCCACAATGCTTTATACGATACAAGTTGAAGTAAGGTGAGTCAAAATCGAAGCAATATAGATAGGTAGGTGCCTGGGCATTAGGTAGGCGTGCTTGAAGATAGCGATATATCGGATGGTACATAAAATCATATGACGACAACTGTAACGGTAGTATACTATATATATACATATATATTATTTAAATAATAACTGCATTTTTACGCCTGACATCGGCTTTAAAAGTTATTTACAAATGAACTCAAGATATTCTCAACTAGCAGCAGGTATATCTTTTACTTTGCTTTGTAAACCATTTTTAATTGATATAGACCGCCGATATAAAAAGTTACACATTTAAGAATACATTCACTTACACGCATGACATCAAGCGATTGTTCAATATTCAATTCCTTTGCACCTAAATGCAAGTGGATGAGCTTGTTTGCTAGCTGTTGCTGTGCGTGCACATCACATTTCGCTCTCACTTCGTGTGACAGCAAATACTCAGGATGTTTTCTGAGAGTTTCATATAGTTTAGGTTGCTTAGTGAAATAATTGTAATGCATAAGGGACTCAAACGAGTTGCCACCTAACACCAACGGTATACTGTTACACCAAGCTTGCTTATTGGCATACATATCAAGTGGGTCCTTGGTCAGTATAGCATCTGGTGCATACTTATTTTCAATTGTAAGAGAGAATACCAAGAAATTGCTTTGTTCCAGCTCTTCTGGCGTCCAAATTTGTAGATTACAGAGACGCTCTGCTGGCAATGCGCTGAGATAGGCAAGTATAGCCTGATTATCCTCTTTACCCGTATAGCCCAAGTGCTTTGCGAAACGATACTCTAGTCGGGGAATACGGTGTAAATGCATTTGCATGCCAGACATCAGTATGACTTTATGAAAGAGATTTTCACATTGCGGCAAATACATAAGTAGCTGTGCTTCTGCGCTGCCCGAGCTGTGTCCGAATAGCGTTATATTATCGGGGTCGCCACTAAAGTACTGACAATTTCTCTTAATCCACTGCAATGCCAAGAGTATGTCTTTGAGACCCGCATTACCAGGAACTTGAAGTTCAGGTTCCGGAAAACTGAGGAATCCTAAGTGATTTGAAGATAATAAAGTTTTTCCACAAGTTCTCTTAAACAATAGAGCAGTGCTGTTCTTTTAAATTATGTATATAGTAATATATATAGTCCTTCGAAAATTTTGCTGATACCAGCCTGGTATGCAATTTCCAAATACTTTGTTACTCACCAAAAGCACCCAATCGAAATCCAATACTTATAAGTATTACATCTTTCATCATTAAGTAATCTGGACCCCAAATATTGCGCGAGGCGCCGCCAGTTGTAAAACGTCCACCAATCAAATATACCAAGACCGGCAAGGACTTTGTAGAATATAACTAGATTTATGTAACATTAAAAAAATATATTGTTCTGCAATTTTTTTTTTTTATGTTTAAAATGTTGTTAAAGTCACCTTCTTCGCAAATACATTTAAATACAAGCAATCCTCAACACCTTCAATTGCGCCATTATAACGATTACTTTGCATACATTTAGGCGGGCATATGGTACAGTCGCGTACGCCAAGCCAAGTGTCGACCGGCTGCGGTGATTTAAAGCGTAATTTGCCAAGTGGTGGCTTTGCAAAAGGTATGCCATCGAAACTATAATAGGTATCACCGTAGATACCTTCGCGAAGTCGACCCCTCACCTTACCATTTGCGGTTGTTATTATTGGCTCCAGAATTCTAAAAAAATAAAATAAAAGTTAAATGCACATTCATATTTTTGTACATAGTTTGTTGATACTTATTCTTAAAATTTACTCTCTGCCGTAATCCCACTTACTGCGAACCCATAATTTTATCAACTGCCTTCTACGGTGAAATAACTGAAACTGAGGTGCCATTCTATATCTTATTACTAGGTTTTATAACTTTACAATGGTATTTAAATTTAAATATTTACATTATTTAGATAATGTGGTATTGTTTGCGCACAATTGAATCTCCATGTTGATTGTAAAGATTTTGGGCTACATTTATTTACTATATAAGCCATGTCGCAATTCTCAACCTGTTGTGTTGATTAAGCGGTGTGGTACTTACTTTCACAATATAAAATAAGTTATTTATTAGTATATACTTTTACATTAAATAACGGGTGATTCAAGTAGAAGTACTTTTTTCAATAGTCGTTTTTTCACAGACCACGTGTTAGTCAAGTCAAGTTGAATAACGTTTACAAATCGTTCAACTTTATTACGAAAATTCACGTTCTGTAATGAATGTGTTTACGAAGCTTTCGAGCCAAATTTTGTTCAGTGATGAGGCCCATTTCTGGCTCAATGGGTATGTAAACAAGCAAAATTGTCGCCATTTCATCCAGAAAAAAAAAACGGTTTGGTGTGGCTTGTGGACCGGTGGAATTATCGGTTGTTATGATGTCGGTGAGAACGTAACCGTCAATGGCAACCGTTAAAGCGTATTGATAACCGACTATTTGATACCTGAAATTCAAGCTCGTGATCTCGGCGACATTTGGTTTCAACAAGACGGCGCCGGTGAGCAGATAATTTCACGTTTTGGTCCGGAATTACTTTGTATCCACTGTTTGGTAGAAATAGAACTTTTTTGTATATAGACAGCAGTAAGGTATAATAATGTACACTCAGTATGTGAGTAAAATAAAAATTGACACTCCACAATTTGCTTATTTTGTATTTATATATCATTTTTATTTAATCTTAAATACTTTTGATATACCATATGTACAAAGTAAATAAAAACTACTGTGTCAACAGCTTCACTACTCTTCTGCGACCTCATACAGACTATCCCATACCTGTAGCTTATGTATTTCCGGCAACTCGATTACTTCTAAATCATCACTGACATTTAGGCAATGCAACTTGCCATCAGCTTTCAACGGCGTCCATTTGTTACCGTCGAGATGATCACAATTCGGATCGGAGTTTGCCGCAAACGATGTCCAAATATCTATTTTTCGCTGAATTGTACGAAATTCAGGCGTGTCTTTGTCCAGCTTCCAGGCAAAATTTCCAAAGAACAAGTATGAGTGATCATCCACATGGGAAACGCCACGTATTTCTTTGCCGCAATAACCGATACGCTGATGATTAAAGTCGGGAGAGTCAAAATCGAAGCGGTAAAGATAGGTGGGCGCGCGTGCATGGCGCAACCGCGCCTTTACAGTGCGCAATATGGGATGCCAGAATACTTTATACGAAGCGTACTATAAATAAATTAAAAATGTTTACAAATAAAATACTATATACCATATACACCGTTATTTTGTAGACTCACCTCGCAATAGTTGAGTACATGCTCCATCTGTAATTCCCTCTCGGCAAAATGTGTTTCGCGCAATTTCGCTGCCAATTCCTTTTGTTTTTGTATATTGTGCTTTTGTTTCAATTCCAACGGCAACATGTGTTGTTGATTTTCGTTCAACTCGTGCAAAAGAAACGGTGCCATATGTACGCGCGCAAACATTAGAAGACCTTCAAAAGAGGTGCCACTAATTATAACGGGTATATCGTTACCCCAAGCATCGGCAAACATAGCCGTCGGTTGCTTCGGTATAATACATGTCTCCGATATATACGGTTCAATTACTGGGCCAAATGCGAATAAGCAATCATCCATATTTTCCTCTTTGGTTAGTAAGTTGTCGCGTAACAGATCGGCGGCGGGTAATTTTTGCAGGTACTCGAGTACATTTTGATCTTTGTCTTCGCCGGTGTAGCCATTAGCTTGTGCTAACCGTTTTGGTAAAGCTTTTAGCGGCGATAATGCCCATGGGCAGAGTACGGTGCCAGACATTAGTATAGCTTTGTGAAAGAGTCCTTTCGCCAGCGGGGACAGCATCATAAAGTGCGTGGACGCAGAACCGGCGCTTTCACCGAAAAGTGTTATGTTATTTGAATCACCATTAAAATTTTTAACATTTTCCTTAACCCATAGTAAGCCAAGCAGTTGGTCTTTCAGACCCGCATTGCCCGGAGTGCCAACGTTGGGATCGTGCAAGCTGAGAAAGCCTGTAAAATGTACATGACAACAATTGTGTTCCGTACAGTACGACAGTTAAAAGATTTGTATGTGAGCTATCAATAGTTTTTTGTATGCACAAAACCTAAGTTTCTAAACGTATATGTGTAAGCTCTATACGAACAATCAAAAAAAATCAAGAATATAATTAATTGCGTGCTCTTTATTTAATTTACAATTGCTTTTTTCCGCTGCAACTTGATATTCCCATCAAAAGCTCAATAATTGCAGTCTCTATATATTTTTATGTATGTATGTGCTTTTTAAATTAAAACTTACCTAATGGACCCAATCTGTAGGCAATTGTGACTAGAATGACATCTTTCATCATCAAATAATCGGGGCCGTGTAGGTCACGTGTCGGATCACCTTTTTCAAAGCCACCACCATAAAGGAATATCATAACAGGCAGCGGTTTATCGGATTTGAGCTGTTTAAGTATAAAGTTGCAATTACTTATCATTTATCGAAAAGCTCCCCAAAAAGTTAGGTTAAATCGTTCAGGGGCTACTTGGTAGCATAAAAAATATGCAGAACGCAGTGCGACAATATATTGTAATTGCTAAATTTTTCTAAGTATAAGAATGACTGTAAATAAAGTATAAAAGGTTAATTATTACACCACTAAGCAAACGTACTATAAAAATAGAATGGTAAAGTTGGAATATTGCTGTAATGTTTAAAGAGAGTTCCCATACGAAAGCAAATTGTTAGAGTTTTATTGCATTAGATAAGACATATAAATATAAAGCATTACAACCGATTTTTATCAAGACAAGTTCTGTATTCGTGTTAACTGCTGTATTGTTGAAGTGTCTCGACCACCTGGTGATGCAATTTGACGCTGCTTGACTTATTTTGGCGAGGGGCAACGTTTCACAGTCAATAACCTGAACCCTGAATATTTTTTTTTTTTAATTTCATCGAATATTAATAATTTTAGTACCGCTATATATTGAGAAATTATATTTATGTTTGTAATTGCTTGGAATCCCAAGTCCAATACTTTTAAACTGAGTATATAAGTCGTTAAGCTATTGCATAGCTTCTATCGCGGGCTTTGAGCGTAGGGACTGAATCAAGAAATTCCGTAAATAAACCTAACACGACCACAAAGTATGCAGTATGCGCATACTTGTAGGCGTATCTTCGCATATCTAAGGCGGAACAAATCAATTAAAGAGCAGGGTGATTCAAAAATAACAATATTTCAGATCCATTTTTTTAATGGCCTATAAAAATATAGAATTCAATAACAATTTAATTAATAAAAAATAAATGATTCAATATTCGGAGTCATAATATAATTATATAAGTAACATTATTATTATTTTGGTAAATAGCTACCCCACCTTTGGAACAGTATTTCGTTTGAATTGAATAATGCAATTGAAATTGGGTATTCCAATCAGATTATTAATGGCAATAAATTGGCATTTATTTTGGCTGGCAACTTCAACATCAACTTCCCTGATAAAATATCATAGCGGTTGACAACTTTTATTTCGGAAAAATTGAATTTGAAAATGAATAATGATTCACAAGAATCCACAACAGAATATGGGACCACCATTGACGCGGTATTTTCTAGATATTTAGAGAATATCAAGTCTCAAACGTATGTTTGTTATTTCAGTTACCATAAATCTATTGTTTCAATGTTAAAAATTCCTGAATAACCTACATGTATTGTAAGAAAAAAATTTGTTTTATAATCCCTTCCGAGTGCCACACGTACTTTTTCTTTCAATAACTGTATAACAAACGTATTTAGCAATTACTTACCTTCTTCGCATAGATATTCAGATATAAACAATCCTCAGCGCCTTCGATTTCATTTGAACGAGCATTTTTTTGTAACGGTTTTTCGGCCTTTTGCGTACAATCCAGCACACCTTGCCACGCTGTCGCAGCTATAGGCGCCTTAAAGCGCAATGCACCCAGTGGTGGCTGCGCAAAGGGTATGCGCTCGAAACTGTAATAATTGTCATCGTAAATGGACGTATTGCATTTACCTCTGACGGTGCCAAGCGTTGTTTGCGCCAGCACTTCTGCATTTGCTGAGCTAATTTTGATATATATTATATATATATATATGTATATAAGAAAATATTATAATAATTACACTTTCCTAATCAAAATAAATTACTTAGCTACTCAACGTACTTGCCCGTCATAGCAGCACGTAAAAAACAAACCAAAGAATACCCTTTATCGAGATAAATTTTTATTATTTTTCTATTCTCAAATATGGTATATATACATAAGTATATTAGTCATACGCCTCACAACTTTATGTTTTATGTATCACTTTAATTATTATTATCTAATGACAGCGCTGTGACAGGCGACCAATTGACTTGAGTAATGTGAAACCGCACGCTATGGGACACAATGTGCAACTGTCAGTCTGTAGCATTCAAACACCCATTGCATATCCATTTTTACTAGCGCTTGAGTGCAGTCGGTTAAGCAACTACATATGCTTATACATATATACACGCTATTTCTCTTCTATGCATTCGTTTTTTATACGAGCATGTTTATTAGAATTTTATGTTTGTTTTGCTCTCTCTTTCTGCTACAGAAACTGTTGCGCTGATGCAAGGTGGGTGACGCGCTCTTGCACATATGAGACATACCTATGTATATGTATAAGTATATTTTTAGTATTTTGATTTTTCAATATTTTATTTTAGTTTTTTTTTTTAAATTCACTCCAAAATTTGATACTACATGCTTAAATATATAAAGAAATAATTATCAAGTCAAAAACCACTTTACTAATATTAATTAACAAATGCACGATCAGTAGGTGAGAGCGAAAACGTGTTTGAACTTGTTGCACTTATCTATATTTTCTCTTATTTCTTTCGCTGCACTTCTGAAAGATGACCGGAAGAGCGAAAGAGTTTTAGAGAGAATATAAAAGGATTAGCTAGTAAGGCGAGTGCATGCAAGCAGGTATTCTGAAGAGTTCAATTAACCTGTTGTCTTTTTCAACATTTCTTTCTATTTTACTCTTTCGTTGCACTCACTAAAAACAGCAAACTCAATAGCGGTTTGTAGGGTATGTTCATTGTTTACTTACATACTTGTTCTTCAAGTGACGATATAGTAAATTCATAGTATATATATACCATATATAACTGGTCAGTGACCTCAGCTGTATTAAGCAATGTTGCCACGTACCGTAAATTTCGGTTTTTTATTTCGAGAGCCAGTTTTCATTTTTTTAATTTTGAAATTTAAAGATTCTATTTCGATATTATTTCCAGCGTAAACTTAGATAATTTATGTAAATATATTTAGTATCCTTAATGATATAATAAGTCTACAATTAAAATAAATTATCGTTCGTAAAAAGATTTGTCCAGGTTTTTAGATGCTTATGCGGTAAAGATTTGATTTCGAGTTCTTCGTCAATATTAAGGCATTTTGGCTGCGCATTTTCCACATCTTTCGCTTCCACTGGTTGCCATTGAATCGGTTCGATTTCAGTACAATTTGGATTACCAGTTGCTGCAAATGCCGTCCACATACCAATCATGCGTTGAATTGTCTTGAATTCACCGCTTGTGGGTGGTAATTTGTCGGAGTTTAAATTGTAAAATAGATAAGAGAGCTCATCGGCATGACATACGCCGCGAGCGGACCGTCCACAATGCAAAATGCGAGAGTGATTGAAATATGGTGAATCGAAAGCAAAACGATAAAGATAGGTGGATACATTAAAGGCGTAAGCAGCACGAGCTAAAAGAGTACGTTGTACATCAATGAAAAAGTGTCTATAAGCCAAGAGCTGTAATTGAAGAAATCTATCAGTTTGAGATGTTAAATATATTTGCTGCTTCGTATACTACCTCCAAGTATTGGTAAAGATTTTTACTATAATGCGGTTTCGCATTACCAAAATGTGCTTCTCTTAAATGTAGACCCAACTCTTTGCATTTCTGCACATCACACTCTTTCTTAACAATTTTTGGTAAAACAGCCACACAATCTCCGAGCTCATTAACTAAATGCGGATTTTTCACAGTTTCGTTATAGTGCAACATGCCTTCATCGGCTGTGAAACCTAACAGTATTGGGATTTCATTGCTCCATGCTGTTATGAGTAGATCTTTAAACGGCTTTGTCAATAAACCATTCTGACTTTGGTATGGTTCCACCACTGGTGTGAAAGGAAAAAATATACGTTCATCCTTCTCATGTGGCTGTCTCAGCCCATCCTCAAGTTTTATTATTTTTGAACCACTAATATTCGACAGGAAGGATAATACGGCTTTGTCTACATTTTCGCCCTTGTAGCCTAATTGGATGGCCAGCCAATAAGCGCGATTTGTGGGTTCCTGTTCGGCCCATGAGCAAAGCGCTGTACCTGATTGTAATATTGCCTTATGGAAAAGGCCCTGCGTTTTCGGCGCAAGCATAAGTAGATGTGTACAAGCGGCACCAGCACTTTCTCCAAATATTGTCACATTATTGGGATCACCGTTGAAGTTGGCGATGTTCTCTTGAATCCAGCGTAATGCAAATAATTGATCCTTTAACCCGGCATTACCTGGAACTTGTAGATCGGGATCTGGTAGTGAGAGGAAGCCTAAAATAATTTGATTGACAGATATGTTGTTAATTAATAAGAGGAAAAAAGGAGAGACAAATACAAACCTAAAGCACCGAGCCTGTAGTTAACCGTTACTAATACGATATCTCTCTCCATGAAATAATCGGGAGCATAAACATCTCGTGAAGCTTCACCAAAACGAAAGCCACCACCATAAATCCAAACCATTACCGGTAATGGCTTAGCAGAGTTTAACTGTAAAAAATTACTAAAGTTATTATACTAATTTTCTACAACTAACCAAACCAACATACGTAGATACCATATACGAGGTGTGTTCAAAGGGAATGGTGAATTTTGATTTTTCGCGAGCTGTGTACATTCGATTATCGATATTTTGGTTTTTTTTTACTATCGGAAACATATGTTTATCATGTGCTTGCATTAGGAGCCAATTTCGATTAGTAGTTGGGTATCGATATTTGACTTTTGAAGGAAATGGCTCCAAGGCACTTGAAATGTTGACTGTGGCATTCGGTGGATCCACTTTGTCTCAAAAAAGAGTTTATAAGTGGTACAAGAACTCACAGAAGGCCGAGAAGATGTTAATGACGATGAGCATTCTAGAGGTGCGACAACGAGCGAAGAAAATACCGAAGCAGTAAAAAAATTGTTCTGGAATATCGTCTGATCGCTATTAGAGAAGTTGCAGAGGATGTTGGCATATCAATCGGCTCATGCCATTAAATTTTTTGGGCATGAAACGTGTGGTAGCGAAGTTTGTTCCGAAATTGCTAAATGTCGCATTAGTAACGGTCGGAAGTTGTTGAGTGACGTCATCAACGATTTTCAACCATCGTATTCACCAGATTTCGCTCTCTGCGAATTTTGCCTATTCCCAAAACTGAAGAAACCAATGAGAGGAATGTGTTTAGCCTCAACTGATGAGATCAAGGCAGAACCGAAGGAAGAGCTAATGAGCATACCGAAAAGCGCATTTCAGATGTGCTTCGAGGATTAGAAAAAGCGTTAGCACAAGTGTATTATATTCGAGGGCAATTACTTTGAAGGATAGAAATAGATATTGATAAATAAATCTGTACTTTTCAAAAAACATTCAAAATTCACCTTTTTTTTAAACACACTGGGTGTGTTGATATATTTTTTGTAGTACCCGATAGCTTTCTTACCTGTTTAGTGTATACATTTAAATATAAACAGTCCTCTGAGCCTTGTGTTATGCCGAGTACGAAGTGTTTTTGCAGTGGCACATTTCCCAAGTTAGTGCAATTACGCACTCCCGTCCAAGGATCTGGTGTTTGTGGCGCCCGAAAACGCAATTCGCCGAGAGGGGGTTTGGCATACGGTATGCCTTCGAAGGCATAAAAATGGTGATTGTAGATGGTTTTTCGTTTAACACCTTTAACCTGACCGTACTTTGTAGGTATAACAGTCGTTTCACTTGTTGTTGCCTGATACTGTTGTATGCGATGGACTACAAAGCTGTAAATTTTATTAGTATTGTTTACTATGAAAGTACTTAAAGCTAAGTAAACGTAGTAGTAAGGTTTATTTTTATACTCATGTAACATGTTGCTACAGACTATAATAGTTTTACCCATCTAACGGTTGTTTGTATCACTGAACACTAATCGAGATAGATATAGGGTTATGTATATACGAGTATATAAATGATCAGGATGACAAAACGATTTGAAATACGAATGAGTTTTAATTTCTTCTGCTTCTTTCACTTTCCAGTACAATCAATATATCCGGTTAAAACTTTGCAATAATAAAGCTCTCAAGGCATATTATTTTACGCTCAAAAATTGTCGAAATCGGAGCATAGCTTTTCAAAAACCCGTTCCGTATGCCTGACTTTTTGCCGAAAATATAGGTAAATCTGTGAGATATTTGATATTGAAATTAGGAGAAAATATTTTTGTGACAATAGTTTGTCTGTTTGTAAAAAATTCTTCCCATATATCTATAATATGCAATATATAAAATTTTGCTAGCGTCTTAAGGTATTTCCCCATCTCTGTTCCTTGCAAGTTGCAAGAGTATGAAATGTTCGGTGACATCCCAACTTAGCCCTACCTAACTTGTTGTTTTCCTTTTTGTATCCAAGAAAAAAATGTCCATTAAATCTGCGCTGAGGCCGTCACTCCTTTAAGATTCAACCATTTTTATTGTTATTAAAAGGTAAAAGTTTACTCCTTAGATGACATATTTTTGGTTTAAATAATTTCTGAATTTTAAGGTTACATTAGTTTTATAATAAGGAAGTCCAAAGTTCGAAAGTACTTCAAAAGAGTTTTCGGTTTTTATGAATAAAACTAAAAATGTTTTTATGCCCTCAAAAAGCAGATTAAGCCACGAAGTTTGTAACACTCAGAGGGAAACGTCGGAGACCGAATAAAATATACTCGTTTATATCAGCATGATGAGCTTAGTCGATTTTGTTATGCTCGTCTGTCAGTCTCTATATACGCGAACTAGTCCACAGTTTTTAGTTATCAATCTGAAAATTTGCACACGTCTTTTTTCCCCTACAAGCTGCGCATTGTCAGACCACTATGACATACTCATAGCTGAATTAAGTTCTTATATGGTAAACTTTTTTATTTGACAAAGTATCTTCACGAAATTCGGCATTACTTATTATCTAGAGCAATGGTGAAATCTTCGAAGAAATTGTTAAGATCGAATCACTATAGCTTATAACTGGCATACAAACTGAACGATCGAAATCAAATTCTTGTAAGGAATCTTTTATATGTGTGAGCTTCGCTGCAACTGAAGTTAACATGTTTTCTTGTTTTTGTTTTTTTTTTTGTGTTTAGTTTTTAAACAATAGAAAATTAAGCAGAATCAGGTAGGTAACTAAGATTTTGCTTTAGGAATTACTTAGCTCAATTAGCTCAATAGCAGGTTTGCTGCTTACACCCGCTCTATATATAATTCTCTCAAATGATATTGGAATTGGAACCTTAAGTTATAGTATATTATATTAGCGAATTGTTTCGGTGACTTCAACAATTTCTCAAAATGCATTTACTTACTTAACTTAAGTTTACTCATTTAATACTTAAATTGTTGAATATTTTCTGAAATTGCTTTGCAATATAATTTGCATAGTTTACTATGAACTAGCAACTTAGATTACGGTATCATGAATATTTTTCTAAAAACAACAAAAACCATTATAACTGAGTGAGAAAGTAAAAGCAACATGTTGTTTCTATTGAAAGTGAAATCCAATGTACGAAGTAAATTACGTTAATATTTATACTTTGATTCCACGCGCCAGATTCATTATAAATTGTCATGAGCAGCTCGCTGCTTTACACGAGATTAATATAAATGACTTATGCACCTAACTGCTTTGCGAACAAGTTTATAAATTTGTTAATTGCATACGACAATTAAAGCAGTTTTTTTATTTTTTTAAAAACTTTATATTTCCTTCGTATATTTCACTAAAAAGTTGCTTTTTCATTAAAATATTTGATATCTTTCGTACTAAATTTAATAATAACATTTTGAAATAAATTAATTCTTTTTTTCAAAATTTGTTTTTTTGTTAAACATTTTAGAAAAATGCAAAATGTGTAAATATCAAAAATTGCTGTAGGAAGATCTCTGTTAAACGATCTATAACGGTGGATTGAGAAAGCTTTTAATTGACTGATTCTGGTATAACAAAAGAAACGTATAGCATCTTTTTCTAATCATCTTTTAGCACTTTATTAAATCATAACTAATGCAATTTCGTTTAAGAAATTATTATCTTATCACATACTTCACGCTCGTTTGCAACAAATTGATAAGAGGCACGTTGATATCGACCATTCTCACGCGGTTTATAAATATAAATAAAATCACACGAGTTACAACTAAATAAAAATGCTATATATTTTGGTAGATTAAAATAAATTCTTATTGAGAAAAATTGTTCATTATTAGCCAACAGTCGAGCGCGAACTGACATAGCTCATTCTAGTATGTGAAAGTTGACACTTAGTTGCCTTCTTATCAGCATAAGTATATTTGTGTAAATGATTATATATATATATTATATATATATATATATGTATGTGCTCACGAGCACTTGGATTAACAGTATTAGTAGCTTTGTTTATCAAGTGTAATTGCACTATGAACTTCTATTGTATTATTAATGTATACATTTTAAATACACATTGCAGTCAAAGCACTTGAGTACTTCTAGCAAGTGCATTAATTTTATACCCTGTATATGAATTCGTTTATAAAAAATGAAAATTAATTGGAATTATGTATGAGGCTTGACAAAAGCGAAGCAACTTTGTGACCATGTCCGAGGATCTCTCAAGAAAAAGAGGAACTATTACAACAGTATGACGTGATTTCCAACAAAAGTACGTTGCACAAATTTAGCTTTGTGCAATTTTTTGCTGACTTAAAGAAATATGACTCGAAATTTAATTTCGTTAACCTTACAGTTGAGATACGTTGACATAAGATTGATCGCCTAACTGCTCGGTCAGTTTATCAGCATATCTTTAAACGTATAGTTTCAATGAAATGGTGTTTTAGAATTACTAGGATATATTAGGTTCTGAAGTTACCACTAAAAATGTTCTACTTATACAATAAGCTTAAAGCTAAAATACAATATTTGTTTTCAATTGAAAGATTATTGTGCATACTTTAATTTTGTTTGTTTGCTTCTTTAAAATCAGTTTATCCAAAGCATTCAAAATCCAAAGCAGTATAACGTTTAGCAGAGATCTCCAGCAATGTCTGACATTTACACACATTGTTTTTATTTTGTAAAAAAAAATATAGAAAATTATAAAAGTTTGTTACTTTATTAAAAAAAAACTGTACTACGTTAGGGATATATGTAATCAGATAAAACAACTTTTGAGCAACACAACAAGGTAGAATGCATTAGTAATTGATTCTTAAAATACCTGAAACCAGTTTTGTTTGCAAATGCCAAACATCACGAAAAGTAAGAATTTTTTTTATATCCTGAATGGAGTATATTAAGTTTGTTTGTAACACTTAAAAGGAACCGTCAAAGACTCTATAAAGTATATATATATAAAAGATCAGCGTGACAAGCTGAATTGATTTAGGTATGCTACGCTAACTAGTTTCTCAGTTTTTGACAATTTCCATAAAAATGGTTCAGATCGGACAATCATAGCATATAGCTGGCATACAAAATGTTCGTTGCAACTCTTGTTCTTGTAGCTCTCTCTTTTTTATTTAACAAAATATTCTCACAAAATTTGACACATATTATTATTTTTTAAGACATCACTACAATATCCGAAGAAATTGTGCAGATTGGATTACTTATATGCTATCTATACAAAGTGACCGATCAAGATCAGTATAAAGATCTTTTTATACCTTTTTATGCTATATGAAATGGATCTCTAAAGGGTATTATAGCTTCGGTGTAGAAGTAAACGTTTTTTCTTGTTTTAAATGCAGTTTCGCAGTATTTTCAATGAAATATCGATAAAGCCTTCTCTCACTTTCTACCCCACATTTGTTTACGCCTAACTACTGTGTTATATTTAAATCATTAAAAACTTGTCCGAACGTTCACTCCTTATTTGGGTTCGCTGATCTCGAGTGATGTAGTTATGAACAAAGTTTTTAGTATTGTTTTCTATCTTATATGCAAATGTGTACAAATATTAAACGTAGGTTTTCCCTGAACCTAAAAATGGCCGTAATATAAGATAGACGCTGGTAAAGGTTCTTATTACTTTCAAATATCCTCTTGGTGTCAACGTTAGTACACAAATCTGTATAAGCTGAACGAGGATACCGTATTCAAACAAATCGACTATATAAATTATTTCTCATGATATTGAGATTGGCTTCGAATAAGTAAATATATGGGAACGATGGACTTCTCCAGAGTCTACTTGTATTACAAAATTTTTGGTGCAGGGTGAATGTCATCTATGTAGAGTCTTTTTGTGTGTTTGCATAACGATGTTAATTCCGGTAATTCGGATTCCGATTCTGGATACAAAATTATCTTCTCTCCACTCAAGATTAATTAATGCGGTAGGGATCCTGAAATTTGAGTACATTTTTGATTAGGTTAAATAAAATTAATGCGAGCTTTTCATATAACAGTTTGCTAACAGAAGCGAAAACAAAAGTTCTTTTATTATTAATATTTATTTTCCTATTAAAAATCCTCTTATATAATATTTTTTGTTTATAACAGAATATTCGATGAAAAGGCAACAAAACACTTAGCCGTTGCCAAATTGCACGCTTGAGTCAACCGCAGGGTGCACAGTGTGTAGTCAACCGCCCAAGTGCATGCAAACACAAAAAAAGTGTTAAAGTATTGCTGAAAGTGTGCATATTATTTTTGAAGCATTTGTGTAGGCATGTGTGTGTATGTTGCGTTATAAATCGACTGCTTTACTGCTCACTGATGCATTTGACATGTATACCGTAACTGTTTTTACCACTTTACATATACATATACAAATGTGAGATTATCCAAAAGATTTCAGTTGCAGCAAAAAACGTATGCAGAAGAAAAGCGGCGCTCAAGGAGTAGTGAAGCCAAAGTGCAGTTGAAATATATGAGTATAACCAAAAATTTTAACAGCTCAGTACTTCATACGCCTTTGCCTTCAGCTTCAGTTCGTTCTCTTTGGTAATGCGAAATTTTCTTCGTGGTTGCGGTTGCCGAAATTTTATATTTTCCAAAATGCCAGCTTTCGCTATTCAATGTGCCAATTTTGTAGCTCTCAACGCTTTACATGCCACTGTATTCGCGTGTTTATGTGTGAAAAAGTGGTTAGAGCCATAAGCTGGGCTGGAGTCACTGCCATTTCATATTTCTTTTACTCCACTAATATTCTAGCGTTTCACCAATATTTGGATATACTATGATGAAGCGATTGTGTGAGAGACATGAATATTGCGGAGGGGGGCTACTTTACTTGCATTTGATATAAATTAATTTACCAAAAATTTGCTCAACAATTTTTTGTATGTATAGGTGAAATGTCTGATTAAGAAGTGTGGTATGTTTCGGATTTTCCGAATATAATCGCATCTTTACACAAAGTTAGCAGAGATTTTATGCTTTCCATATTCTTCATAACATTAACAAGATGCCCTTAATCTACATAGTGATACCGGGTGTACTTGGTTGGATTTTAATCTACAAAAAAATGGTAACAAGATTGTTCGCTATTTTTATAAAGTATATGAAGATATACTATACTTGGTACAGCTGTTCCTTGCCATCATAAGAATTTCGGTACTATAGATTGGCGTAATCGAATCAATGCCGCGCCCACAAAAGGCGATTAATTGAAAACTTATAAATTGCCATAACTAAACCGCAAATTACGATTAAAATCTGATATTTAATACAATGAATCTTCGATAGGTTTGCTGCACATTTAACATAAAGTTTTGCTAACGCCTGAAGGTATTTCCACCCGGTTTGATCCCTTAAAGTTGCAAGAGTATAAAATTTTCGGATACGCCCGAACTTAGCCCTCCATTTTGGTTTTTTTTTTAAATTTCTTACAACTCAAATTTCATTGACAGCCATTGCTGTTTCTTGGAGATTGCGAATGCCAACAGAAGTCATTAAGACTCTGCTCTGGTTTCATCACTACAAACTATTGAATAGATAAATAGATGGTTGAGCTCCAATCAAAATGAAAAGTGAATATGTAGAACAACTTTGCCATATGTCACATTTCTTATTAACATGGACAGATATAAAAATAACTATCCCAAAAAAGAAAATTTCCTAGAAGAAGAACACAACTTTTCACAATAAAACTAAGACCTAAAGCGACAGACTTGCAACAGTGGTATTACGAAGCAGAAATTATTAGGATTGTATTGCATTAGAGTCGTATTTTTTCATTGTAATTAAAGTAAGAAGACGAAAGAACTATAAATCTCGTAGAAAATTGTTAGGGAACTCAAACTGTATATTGTACTATTGCTATTACATAGTATAGAGGCAAGCTACTATAGTCCTTATAATATTAATTCATACGTAAATTTTAATCTTTTCTCTAAAATCCACATTTGTCCACACAAATTTATAGTATTTTAATAGCATCAGTCTGTTGGTCTAAAAATAAGTAGGACCAAAAATAATTCTATTCGTTCAACAGACAGCGGTGGCTAGCCGCGTATTTACAGCGTTTCAACGTGTTCGTTCTTCATTATAATTTAATAAGCTCCCTGGTGGCGAAAGATGTTATTTGCAATACAATTGCCGCTGGGAATGTGATGCAGGAGATTTTCATTTTCATATTGCAGCGTTTGGCCGTTTGAGGTCTACCACTCAACTTTCGAAAGTGTTGAATTACAACAGCGGGAAGTGCGCGCTGCTTGGCGTCAATGTCGCTGAGCCTATAAGTTCGGTAAAACCAAAGCCGTCTTTAGGGGATGAACTGTCAGATACAGAAATAGTATATACATATATATAATAGGGATAAGCTACGCATTTTCATGGGCTGATGGAACGAGCCACTTGCTGACTCAAATCATTTTAGCATTGGCGTAATAAAATTAAAAGCTTATTTAATTTCTCATTTACTTGAATTTTTGTGGCGTTTTACTTTGATTTAGTCCTACGAAATTTTTATGTTGAAAAAGTGCTCATTGAAGTAAAATGGTCAACAAGTGTAATTAAAACTCGGCTTATTTGACTTTTGCAAATGTTTAAATCACATTTTGCTACTTGCTTATCAAACGGTGGCGAAGGGAAATTTTTAATTACGTCAACTGGCGTGTGGCTTATGAGGGCATTGCATTAATTCTCGCGGTAAAATTTAATTTATTTTTTGACTCATTAATTTTATGCCGAAATTTAAAGTATGAAAATGTATATATTTTGTTTACACAATGTGAAAAGTTGTGGATTAATAGTAATATACTTTGATCTTTTCTTAAGTGATTTTTTACTTTATATTGAATTACGGAATAATTTAATTTCGACAGTTTTTGCTTTAGGAGAATTACTGCCAACTGTTGGCACAATAAATGCCGAAATCGATAATCAATTGCAGTGGCATTAAAT